TCCGACTTCTGAATGTGTGTAAGTGACAGAGCGGGTCTCCACATCGGGAACATTGGCCACTCGGTCCCGATGTGCGTTCTGTCACGTGATTTCCATCTTATGTACCATTTCTATCATTATTCCCCAACCATAATAAACATGGCTGCTGCTGTCTTCAACTCTACCGCTGACTTTGTCCTCCATCTCTTGTCCACCATCCTTAACTACCATCCGAGAGTACCCCGACGAACGCTCTTGGACATGCACATGAAACACAGTATAGCAACACCTATGATTTATAACCCCCATATAGCATATGTATTCATATCACAATGGAGTTTGTTTGTATAATTATATTGACCCTTCTGGTGCAGCACTACATTGACTTACACATGCACATGCATGTGCAAAGGACGGGCGTCACGTGCAATACATGTACTCGTCATCAAGCAAATATTAAGTTTCAGTACGGTCGATAACTTGAAAAATCAGTTGATTCCGGTTTTGATAAGCAAAAGTGGACCCTCCTCAACTGACAACCACTCAAGGATATGTTACGGAATGTTGGCATGCCACTGAGGGCTATTGGGAGATGTTGTTTGTCCTCCATCGACTATCAGCCAATCAGCCAGAAAACATCAGCACACTAATGACGTTAAGGACCGTCAGAGTTCAGATCCACCACGAGTAACAACTCCTGGGGAGGAAACAGCCCTTCTCAAATCTCAAGACTTGCAATTGTTTCGATCATGTCAAATCTCGTGATAAAAAAACGATTGGGTCCCACATCGTCGTTTGTTCAAAATTGGCCGTGTTTAGAACCAGACGACCTGTTAGGCGTCTGTCGTTATCCCCAGGGTAACTAACCTTTGACGTCATGAAGGGTCCCCTCGCCGTTGGTTCATGACTGATGGCCGAGCTAGTGTTTGGCGCCGCAGAGACACTGCATATGCACATTGGAATATCTTGGAGCAAGTACCGTTTGGCGGGGGTTCATTCATGGTGTTGACGTGCTTCTCAAGTGACTGCAAACGTGGCCTTGTGACGATCGGCCAAATCTGAATGGACAACGGTACAACACTGACATCCTAGAAAGAGTTGTTGTACCACATTTCGATGACCATCCTCTGACCACATCCTCTTCATGATCTCCCCATGATCATCCTCTTCATGACCTCCATTGGTTGCCCATTCCACAGCGCATCACTTTTAAACTCTGCATTCTCGCCTTCAGATGTCTCTCTGGAAGTGCACCTCAATATCTGTCCGACCTCCTTTCTCCATACAAACCAACAAGATCCCTCCGCTCCGAGAAACATAATCTTCTGTGTATTCCTAAAGTCAGAACAGTTAAATTTGGTCAAAGAACTTTCTCTTATGCTGCAGCCTCTGAGTGGAATCATCTCCCACAACATTAGAGAGAAATCACAGAACTTTCAACCTTTCGAACTTCTCTAAAGACCCACCTTTTCCAAAAAGTCTTTTCGTCCTGACATCAGCGCTTTGAGCATGCATTGTGCATGGAAATATGCGCTTTATAAATGAACTATTGTTATTATTATTATTATGATCGGCAATGCAAGGCCACTGGCCGTTGATGATTTCTTTCGTGAGGAGAGGGCAGCATCTCCACCTTGGTCCTCCAGATCTCCATCCCACAAAGCATGTTTGGGATATTATGGGTCGAAAATACCCCATAGAGATCCTCCAGTACAAAATATTGATGCATTGGAACCTGCCTTCCATCACGAATGGAACGAGTACCCCATGGGACTCAGTACTCGTACTGCTGCCACTCGCTCTTCAATTTGCTTCGCCGGGTGGCCTTCGAGGACCATAAACTTGATGACTTCTCTGTACTCAAGCTTATCCATTTCTGCAGTTTTAATAGGGGTACATGTGATTAGATGACACGTGACAGGAAACTAGCGACATGTGCATGTCAATATTACGCTTATGTGAATGATAAATACCATTCTTCAATTATATCATTCACTTATGTATCATGCACATATCTGCGAAACCGTGCTCTCGTCGCGCCGAAGACCCGGGTTAGATTCCCTACATGGGTACAATGTGTGAAGCCCATTTCTGGTGTCTCCCGCCGTGATATTAATGGCGCTCGGCATTAATGGGTTCAACAAGGACTGGTCAGCTAGGAGTCAGTATAATGTGTCTGAGTGGGGTATTCATGCTTAACTGCGGCATAGTATCTCCGTGAGCTAGCACTATAAAACCAGCTTAAGTCTGGGCTAGTGCAAGCAGCCACACATACACATGCATGCACGTTGACATATGAGCGAAATATAAGAACGACGTTAAACCCATGGGCGGATCCAGGAATTTTGAAAAGGGGTGGGGGGTCCCAAGGGTTTCGAACCCCCTGAACCCCCCATTTGCTCCGCCAATGCAAAAATTAAATCTTCAATGTGGTCTTAAGTCATTTTCCAAAAAGCAGGGGGGTGGCAGGGTTCGAAACACACACACACACACACCCCCCTTTGAATCCGCCAATGAAATCCCATTTCACCTCACCTCACCTTAGTGCCATGACTAATTACATGGTCCCGGATTATTTCTTGTTGTCGACAGTCCGGGCATAAACCCGTGAAAATGCCCCTAGTGAACACAAAATATTGTTTTTGAGATGACCCCCGACTCAAAATGCTTTACAGTACACCACATCATATACCCTGGACATGTCGAGGATGCGAGGACTATCAACTGAGATGTCACGGGTGTCATTACAAGAATTATAACTATCACCTCCCCACCGATCTCCGCTCCAACGTCCTGTAACTAATACTTCATATTGTGTTACAGCTTGAGAATTAAGCTGAGATTAGTAAAGTAGTTACCGTGCGAATGACGGTGATTTTTTTCATAACGCACACGTCACGAACACCAATCTATTTACGTATCAGCCAAGTTGAAATAGAGATATGATCAGGCTGCTAGGCAATATTTACTTTACAGTGATTTGCCTGAAACATTTCACCTTTAGCCTGCAAAGGAGGTTTTCAGTTCAAACATTGCATGCATTTTCGACTGTGGGTGATGGCGATTTAGCACAGCGGTCGGAACTAAACGCCTGAGCATGTAGTCATTCTGTTTATGATGCAGAACGTCAGAAAATGTTTAAATCTAGATAAGGGAAAGACAGCATAAGGTGTGATCACGACTGTATATTGTAAACAAATTGTGTCAAGGTCGGTTTCACATGTCCCACCTTTCTGTCGATAGTAGTGAGTGAGTGAGTTTTTAGTTTCACGCCGCTTTTAGCAATATTCCAGCAATATCACGGCGGGGGACACCACAAATGGGCATACACATTGTACCCATGTGGGAATCAAACCCAGGCCTTCGGCGTAACGAGCGAACGATTTATCCACAAGGCTACCCTTACAGCCCCTCTCATGTTTGTCGATAGTAGACGCGGTTCAGAAATAACGTAACAACAAGAAAGTATCAACGTAACTTCTTAAATGATGAAATCTATTGAGGTTAATAGTGTATCCATACGATGTAGTTTAAGTTGGGTTTCGAATTGTATTTCCATTCATTCAAAGAATGATAAATGACGCTTTGATTGGTAAAATTGGGTTTAAAATGTGCCTAATGTACATATTAAATGCTGCGATTGTACAACATGGTATTAATTCTCCTCAGAAATTAGAATATGATCGTGACATCACGATAATATTCGTTTGTCAAACACCTGCTTGGATTCAAGATCAAATTTATATTTTAGATTTACAAATTATTGAAGACTATATTCACGGTTGATTTCTGATATTCTGCGAACGCATTATTGTTACGTTTAATTATTTCAGTTGGCTTATGTAGACAAGTCGCTCATGTCCCGCCGCTGTGAATTTGTCGTGGAAACAGATGCGCGTGTAACATATACTCATAGAAATGAAAGTGTTCCTTTATTTATTTCCAGAATTTCACTCACAGTGCAATACATACCTTGTGAAGAAACCTGGAAAAGAATAAAGGAACACTTCTTCCTTCATGTGTTCCCTCATTCGTTTCCATGTTATATTTGGGATTACACTTTCTCAGTAAAGTGCAAGATTTTAGTACTTTTGTGGAAGCCGTGGTGGCTGAGTGGGTTAGGTGTCTGACTTTCTGTGCTGGCGATTAGGTGCCTGACTCTGAGGGTGTGGGTTCAAATCCCGGATGGGACTCAACATAACAAAAGTAACTTTATACACCGTTACTCTGCCTGTAAAGATCCGGGTTAGAATTGGTCTTCAGCAACCCATGATAGTCGTAAGAGGCGACTAACGGGATCGGGTGGTCAGGCTCGCTGACTTGGCTGGCAATATGTCATCGTATCCAAATGCGTAGATTAATGCTCATTCTGTTGATCACTGGATTGTCTGGTCCAGACTCGATTAATAACTGACCGCCGCCATATAGCTGGAATATTACTGAGTGCGGCGTAAAACAACCAACCAACTCACCGAGGGTCAGTTAGTCCATATGTTTTTATCGTGTATTGGGTAGGTTTTTTGGCAGAATTAACTAAGTAGATTGATTCCAAACAATATGGAATACTGAGAAACTACTGGAATAATTGCTATAATATACAAACAATAGTCTAAGATACTGAAAATTTGAACGACTTTGGCTGCTAAATACAACGTCTATTCCGAACACAGTAAACTATGATAACAAACATACGTATAACGAGATGAAACGAATTGTGTTTGGTCCCGACTACTTGCTGTAGGCTTTACTGGAAATGCATTGACAAACTACGGGTATAACGAATTGAATATAGCCGAGTTCGCCATTGCCGTAGTGACCCGTGACGATCCGGGTTAGAATTGATCTTCAGTTACCCATGCTTGTCGTAAGAGACTATCAACGGGGTCGGGTGATCTGGCTCGCTGACCTGACAATATATCGGTTGACACATGTCATCGTATCTCATTTGCGTGGATCGATGCTCATGCTGTTGATCACTGGATTGTCTGGTCCAGACTCGATTATTTACAGACCGCCGCCTTATAGCTGGAACATTGATGAGTGCGGCGTAAAACTAAACTCACTCACTCATTGCCGTAGTTCACTGTACATGCTATTCACATCCCCCAAAACACTTCAATGGTAACATCTATTTATACAACGTATGACACCCTGCGCCCGTTCTATGATTTCCATGGCAACGACACAGTTGACGTCATAACATAGCATGATGACGTCATCATTGCAGCGAAGAATGTGACGCCGTCAAGATTGTATTTACATAGTACATTTGTCGTAATTCAAACTCAGGCAGTTGATTCATGTGGTATGTATTTGTGTCAATGTTTTTTGGAGTGACACGTTTGGTAAGCCCGAACTTTCATATGCATGAAAATCAAGGTAATTTTACCTGTATTTCTCTCTCCTTGTATCAGAATCAGTCGTGAACATATTTCGAATCTGAAGGACAATGTGTGCGATCCCTACGCAATCCTGTTAGGAACTTTATAGCGTTGGGTCAGCGATGAAGGTTAAAACGGACAGGACGGGCGTGATAATATGTACACCACCCCTCCCTTCTTTCTGCAAAATATTACGAGCATTGAGTTCAAATAATATGTTTAATCATCCGCGTGACTGTTACGTCTTTTCGCAAATCTGTAATATTTATAGGGTCGCCAAACAGGGTGGCCTGAACATTATAGACAAACCAGTTGTTATATCCCACAAACGTACGTGATAATATGACAGTCGAACATATTGGTGCAACTTTGCTATTGGATCGCCTCTTGTTAAAACATCATATTATTATCCAGAATGTTACGTTTGAGGAACCATTTTACATGAATACGTTGGACTGGATAATGTCTATGGGGAAATTACAGAAAGGCAGACTTTCATGAAATAACGGCTGTCATTTAAAACAGTATGTGAACCTTCCAATTTTAATCAAGTTGGAATTAGCTATTGATATATCTGTAGCCTTAGATATGACTACATGTATATGTTACAGGGAATGTGTGAAATTCCCTAAAATTTCCAGGGATTTCATGAAATTACTGATTTTATTTGTGTTCGATTACACACATTCCCTGTTAGGATATCAGTGAATGTGTGAAATTAATGTTTGTAGCTTAATACTTTACTTGCGGCAGCATCACACTAGTGCATCTTATTGTTATGATTAATAATTTAATCAATATTCCTTTTGTAGTTTCAAAAGTTACAGACGTTGTTTTTAGCGATTTCGTATATAAATGGAAACAGGACCTTTTACAAGTTGGTAGTTTAACTAGTAGGGGAGGTAATAAGTTACACACGTACTGTACTTTAAAGGTGGATTTTTGCAGTGATTTTTATGTTAATTGTAATGTCTCGCTCTATGAGAAAAGCAATAGCTTTGTTTAGATGTGCGGTAGCGCCGCTTAGAATCGAAACTGTTAAGATTTTAATGAAGATGAGTGTCATGTTTTATTGCATTGTCCTTTGTATGCTGATGAGCGATTGCAACTTTTATCTAAGTGTACAAGTCTTTTACATGTGTTTTTGAAAATCTGGGTATGTTGAAAAGTTAGTTTTCTTCTAGCTTGTCCAGGTGTATCGTTTTTATCCGCCCAAACCTGCCTTAATATTCTTAAAAAGCGTACTGCAAATTTGTATATATCTTCTTAATGTAACTTGTACCCTTATTATTGCATTTTTAATATTCGTATATTATACTCTGTATATTGTGGCACAAGTGTCTCTCATAATTCCGTACGGAATGGCTCAACATTTTACTGTGATATAGCATTTAAAAAATTAGCGAGTTTTTTCAAACATTTTGTTTTCTTTATTGAAAATAGACGTTTAAGTATAAACAGACTAGACCATTCATAGAAATAACTTGGAATATACATCATCCCGCTGTTGAAGTAGAGCTTTGGGATATGGGTTTGGGAAGGAAAAGGTATTTTTCAAACCATATATTTCATGTTTGTCCTCAGGGTCTTCTTTCTACGAGGGGCGGTGGGGTAGCCTAGTGGTTAAAGCGTTGGCTCGTCACGCCGAAGACCCGGGTTCGAATCCCCACATGGGTACATTGTGTGAAGCCCATTTCTGGTGTCCCCCGCCGTGATGTTGCTGAAATATTGCTAAAAGCGGCGTAAAACCAAACTCACTCACTCACTCACTCTTTCTACGAATGATGTGACAATGGACAAAGAACTGTTTCTCCACACAGCTGTGATTTTCGAGTCGAATTGTGGTGGTCTGGGTGTCCAGAAATGTATCTGTTGTCCTAACTAGTGTAAATCAATACGTTGTAAATGTTACTGTAAAGTGCTACTGAAGTGTAATAGCTTGTATGATAACACTCTATCTTGTCCCAACAAATGAATTTTATCAGGAAATACTCTGTACTCGCATTATAAATTTGGTGTTCTCTATTTCAATAAGGGCTTACAGGGATTTCATGAAATCACTGAGCTAATATTTCAGTAATTTCATGAAATCCCTGGAAATTTTAGGGAATACATGTACATGAAATCCCTGGGGGTCACAGGGATTTCATGAAATCACTGACTCTTTCAGGGATTACGTGAAATCCCTGGTTTCACACATTCCCTGTAACATATATATCTTAAAACCAATAGCCAGATTTCATGTATTTGCATACAATGCGGACATGTTTATCACTATAACAAGTAAACTTTTGAAGTCCATATACCTCCAAATGTACCGCTCCAAGTACTTTGCACTGAAATTGAAAAGTACCTGTCCTGGTAGTACATATTTGGGTTAGAATGTGGAACTCCCCGTTTGCCACCGGTATTAATATTGATCAAAGCGTCATAACATTCACCTTACCCAGCCTAAACATAAACATATGTACCTTCCTCGATTAATAAAATATTGTCTAACCGTTTATCACGTTATAGTCCCGGATCATATAGTGTTTCCACAAGACTGCTGTTTCAGTGAAAACTAGTGAGAAGTACAACTGGTTGAAAATGTAAATTGTACAAATAAATATTGAGTACGTACCTGCAACTGTTTACTTCAAACTTGACTGAACCAGAAGCGGAGAATTACAACAATCTTCCCTGCACTATGTATCCAGGGCTGCTATTGTGGGATAAATGTGTGGGTCCACAACAGACGTGGGTCCGCAACACTTTATTTCCTGTCCATTCTGTGATTCTATACAGATATGAGATTGCATCACAGGTGGCTCGCGCAGACGACAGTACGCCGAACTACCTCAACCTTGTCAGCAGGTAAACGGTCCCGACTGATTCGTCACATTCACTGAACCATATCATTTTCCCTTCCTCTTGCCTTTTCTGTGTTCACAATCTAATTATGTTTCTCCAGTTTGCTAAACCCCTTTCTTTCCGGTCAACCATTAAGCTGACGACATACTATCCAAAGGGAGATAATTTGTCCTATTTCTGGTACATAAACAACAGGTGCTAGCCCTAAAAGTGTGCTCATGCAAAAGTTCCCCGAAAAAGAGTATATTATCAAACGGGACTTAAAAACTGAATTACTGAAACCATCCTGTGGAATCAATTTTTGCAATTGCTAGCACAAAAGTGAATGAAATAATATGGTTTTGCAGCACTTTCACCAATATCACAAAAATGGACTGCTACACAAAAGACATAATTCATCAACTGTATTCCCAATTAAAGACATTGGAATCTTTTAAATACTATGAAGCATTTTTTAATTGCACTACAAGCCTTCTGTGAATCACAAGCAAACTGGGGGTTGGAGTTTAAATCAATAGTAGACTTTTGTTCAATCCACTGCACATATTTTCTTGAATATTTAAAAACATAATGAAAAATGGAATAAATGTTTAAGAATAAAAGTATCCATGGGTTGCAAGGAAGGCGGGGTGGGGGTCGGGTTGTCTTCACCCATTCTGGGGAGGAAAGGGGTCATCAATTTTGTACACGTCACTTACTTTGTACTTAAATTTAAGGGGGTGATCAATTTTGTACACATGTCACTTACTTTGTACTTAAATGTTAGGGGGTCATTCACATTGTGCATGCTTTTCCATAAAAATCATCATCCACCACCCCCCCCCCAGCCATAAATTCTGAACGTTACCTAAGCACTTCTTTCATAAACATGCCTTTTTAATCGGTGCTATAGTATAAGAACAATAACTGAACACAGACTGCTTATACCATCTGAACACCCCACAATTTCTAGCTGACCTTGGTATCGGTCAAGCAGGTAGCAGTAGTCCTTGATCAGTTCTATTGATTGTCCTTACCTCAACCATGATGAATGGTGAGTGAATGAGGTTTTACGCCGCTTTTAGCAATATTCAAGCAACATTATGGCGGGGGACACCAGAAATGTACCCATGTGGTCAATCAACCCCAGACCTTCGACAAGTGAACAGTTTAACCACTAGGCTACCCCAACGCTATATGCTCAGGTAAGGGGAATTGAACCAGAAATGGGCTTCACACATTGTACCCATGTGGGGAATCAAACCTGGGCCTTTATCCTGACGAGTGAACACTTTAATTACATGGCTACCCTATGATAATAGGTTTGGTTCAAGTGGCAATGCTTCTTGCCTGCAGTCCCCTGTGCGTCATATTAAAACCGGGTTTTGGTTGGTCTGGTCTTGTCTCACCATGCATCGTCAAACTTCCATTGAGGATCGTATATCATTGCCAGGGCCACAACCAATATTGAGTATTGCTGACTGCAGTGTTGAAAAACAAATCCCGAAGATAACCACTCGAAACCTTTGAGTGAGACGCAATCATGACATGTAAATCCTGGATAACCAGATCAGCATGCCATGGCAGTGTGTACTGTGAGTTCATGCATTCACTCAGTGCACAGGACATATTTAAACATGTTAGGATAACACTGTTATCTACCCGGTAGCTGTATTCATCATGGCAGTTTGTCAATAAGCATAGTCTTAACCAAGCATATTGGTAGTTCACACTGGGAGTATCATCAATGAATTGTAAAGTGCTGGACACTCACACAGCAATATTCACATTAGAGTATTTTTATATTCTGGCCTATTTCAAATAACTTATTTCATATTTTGTTTCAGAACACAGCAATGACCTCGTCGGAGAAGCCCACCAGTTCTCCCATCACCATAGCAAGAGAGGATCTGATATGTCCTCTCTGCAGGCTGGAATTCCGTGAACCCAAAATGCTCCCATGTTGTCACACATTTTGCCGCATGTGCATCGCCACTGAGTGTGCTGTGCTGCACACTGACCAATATGTTTTCTGGTGTCCTACCTGCTACAGTGAAAGCGAGACCTATGACGTCACAGGATTCACTCTTCAACCTAACATATACATCACTGGGCTCCAAGAGGTGAAAGCCTGTCGAAAAGTCGACAAGGAATACTGTCTGGTTTGCTCTGTGAAAAGAAAGAAGTCATCAGCTTCCTATAAATGTCTAGACTGTGGTGACAAGCTTTGCCAAGCTTGCAGTAAGGGTCACAACTCCTCAACAACCACCTCCAATCACTTCCTTGCTTGCTTAACTGATTTGGCTAAAGGTCGCCATGATATGCAGATCATGAGCAGGCAGAGGATTGTGTGTGTAATTCACAGAGAGAATTACAAATTTTATTGTGCTACATGTTCAGTTCTAATCTGTGAACGCTGTGCCCTTGATGAACACAGAACACACCTTCACAAATCAGTAGAAGAGGCTGTCCAGGAAAGGAAAATTGCTTTGGAAAAGGTTGTGCCTAAGAACTTCTCAGTGAACCAAATTAAGAAAAGGTTACGCAACTTAGAAAAAGAAGAAAAGCAATTTAGCAAGAAGCTGACAGAAGAAACAACAGCCTATGTACAGCAAATTCACACAGAAAACAAACAGATGCAGAAAAAGGGCCATGGTTTCTTTCAGAAAGAGCGTGCTATCCTTAACAATCACCTGAGCAGTTTGTCCACAGGGGTGTTTGGAATGTACAATAAGGTGATGGAGTGTGGGGGGTTGCAGGTGCTTGTTATGGGGGATGCATTAGAGGTAGGCATGAAGTCTCTGCCAGATGATGTTGTAAACAACCCTTTACTTTACCACAAGAAACTCAGGGTCAATATTGTAGGGTATTCTCCAGGATCAGATGTGTTATCATGTTCAGAAGAACTGGAAGAAGACGAGGCAGATGAAGCCATATCCAGGGCTGGTCGGAATGGAATTTACTCATTCATAGCTCCGAAAGTCAGCAGCAAGACTGGAAGTGTTGCATTTCTCTCAAAGTCTGATTCAACAAAAGCTGTTAAACAAATTCATGGTAGAAAAAATGCATGCGTTGACAGTAAGACTAATGATGAAGAAACTGACATGACTGGAGACGTTATAGAAACAATCGATCCAGATGATAACATCATGGTTGACAAGGCTATGAACATGGTTGATGTCGTTACAGAAGATTCAGACACTGGCAAGGCTAAAGATACAGATGACAAGGATACAGACATTCCCAAGGCCAACAACAAAGTTGATGTGAGGCCTGAAAACACAAGTGATGTCCAAGCAAAAAACAGCAGTGGATGTCAAGGCTGAAGACAAGGGTAATGTTGAAGTGAAGAGTAAAGATACAGTTGATACCATACACGAAGATGTGGTGAAAAATGAGGAAAACGTTGTTGCCAGAGTCTCAGTGGATGTCAAGACTAAAGACAAGGTCAACAGGACTGATGCTAATGTCAAGTGTAAAGATGGAGTTGTACAAAGGAAGGGAATGGTAAAAAATACTGACAAGGATATTGTTACACTCTCTGAGGCACATTCAGACATTGATGGAGAAGGAAAGGATTGTATGACACATAAAGGTGTCCCAGAAACTAACCCAGCCTGTGCAGCACAGTCTTCTAATAGCATCATCGACAGCTTATCAGAACTTGACATTGAGGTGGTTTCACCTTCAGACAAAAGCAACACAAGACAATTTGTTGGGAAAAATATTGACACACTTGCTGAAAAAACATGTTTATCTAAAAACATTGAGAAGAGGGTTTGGGCTGCTGTGGGTACAGTAGGAGACACAGATTTGGACAATTCTGAATTGGATTTGGTTGTCAATGAAGAAGAAAGTCTTTGTGTGAAAGTCTTCCAACATGAAGAAGGCATGACACTTGATAATTGTACCAACATGAAACCAGGTGAAACGAACAAAGATGAAGGAGACTGCCTTAATTATGAAGTGGAAACTGCATCCATGGTAACCGATGAATGGAGTTCAAGCCAAGGTTCTTGTTGCAGTGTAGATGGTGAGAATGGTGAGAAAAACATCACACAGAGAGCGTGACGGGCATCACAGACAAATACAAGGAGATGTAGACCGACGATTAAAACACTGATCTACATGCATCACTTCTTCACTCGACTGCACAGCGACTGGAACATCCCCAACATAACCTGCATGGTGTTTGGCAGGGATGACAGCATCTACTTCATTGATGAAAACAACTACAAGATCGAAATGGTGAACAAATTTGGGGATTTTCTGGCAGGTGCAAGAAAAACTGAAACAACATTTTTCAACTATATGACATCGTATTACAAAGGTTTTGCCGCTGTGCATGGAAATGTCTTGTTGTACTACAACAATGACATGATTGTCACCCAAACAACCAGTCTGTCTAAAGATACAACCCCCATTACATCATTTCCGGTTGTCTCAAACTTTCAAGATGGCATCCTCATTGGAAACTTGCCCCGAAATGAGATGAAGCTTTTCAATATATACGGAAGCTTAAAGCGATGCTGGACTAGTAAGGTGCCTGGTCCGCTTATGTCCTTGAAGTATGTACACAGTGACAAGGTTATCATGGCCACATGGGCAAATGATGGAGCAGTGTACATCGAGTCGGAATCTCAGGGTATAGTGTTGGAGATATACAGACAGTTCTCCTCTGGGAACAACGTTGTAGGGTGGCACCCCTGGGATGCCTCTGTCACTGTGGACGGGCGTGTCATTGTGTCAGATAGTCTACGGAATGAGATATCCATCTTTGATCAAGAGGGCAATTTGTTGTATACAAAGAACACTGCAGAACGTCATCTTCTGGAGCCAAGATGTCTTCTGGTGGACAAAAATAACAGAGTGTTTGTGTCTGGGAAATATGGGACAGTTTTTCAGTATGGCTTTGTTTAAAACACATCAACTTCCTTCAGGATCTGTCAGTCCACTTGACATCATCAGTATCAAAATAGAAGAAATGCTGAATACAAGCTGTCATTATAGCAAAGGAAGACTCTCAAAAGAAAAGGGGTTCCTTAAAAGATAGAAATCTTTCCTGAAAAATAAAGTATATTCATAGTGTTTTCCATTGTGTGCCAACTCACTATGGTCAAACAGCAGCTGAGATATTCAGAAGTTTGTGGAAAATAAACATGCGCAAATAAAATATGTTTATCAGTACAACAAACACTAAATTTCAAATTCAAAGTTTCACTGAAAGAAGACAATATTTGGCTTACTTTTTTCTGAATCATGCAGATCCCTTTTTTAAAATCATTCCTCGAGACAACACATTTTCAACATGCAAAATGAAAAGTGATATGTAAAATTATATGTTCATGAATCTCACCCATACGGTATACTACTTGGGTAAAACAAACTTCTTAGGCTCAAACACCCTGCTATTGATCCAATGATAAATGATTGAACCTCTCCAGTCAAAACACGCTGCACATGATCAGTGATCAACCTTTCAGACAGCTTGATATTTCAGTTTAGGAACTTGTGTCCAGGGTGCCGTTCCACTAACCGATCTTAGCCCTATGCCAATCGTAAACCCCTAAAATCCCAATCTTAGTGTGACGTTACGATCGGCATACCGTTCCACTAACCAATCTTACCTAAGTCAATCGTAAAGTTAAGATTCAAAGTCTAAGTTGCTCATGACCAACTTAGGATAGCTAAAATCAATCGTAGAGAAACCAAAATGGTGGCTTTCCTATTCTATGTGAAAAATAAGAGTGAGCATTTCACCGTGAGCGTCCCCTAAAGTCCCCCATGAAATGAATTTGTATATTTCTGTGATGTAAACAAACACTGCGCTGAACAAGCCTTACAAATGTCAGGCCAGTCTGACCACTGTCGTCATGGGAACACAAGCGAGCGAGTCGGTGTAACACATTTGTACAACAATATTGCAACGTCATGGTTAAGAATAGGGACAGCCATGAAGTGAACAATGTTCTGAAGCAAAAAGATACAAATATGCTTGATTTCACTGCGCATATTTGGTGGGGGATTCTGAAGGCAGGCCGCGTGTTATTCAAGACCACTGACAGATTCTACATACGTTATAGCCTCGTCACGCCTTGTTTATTCTGATTGACAAGGTTCAGGCACATATTAAAAGCTCTGACACAATTGACATTTTTAAAGTCCAGACTTAAAACCTGTTCTCAGTATATTACTTATAATCTCGGCTGTAAATATTCTCGTGTAAATTATAGATCTGTACACAGCGCTTTGAGCATGCCCACTGATGTGGAATAGGCACACTATAAATATGCAATTATTATTATTATATTATGCTTGATACCCAGCGTTCTCACGCACACTTGCACCTGAAACCAAGGTGCTCAGTACCCTAATATTTTGCTCTAGGTTTTTTCTCCACGTTTACACTTGGTTGGAAAAATACCCATGAAGGACCGTGTTAGAATATTGAACTTCAATAACCCATGCCTCGTGAAGAGGCCACTAACGGATCGGGTGGTCAGGCTCGCTGACTTGGTTGACACATGTCATCGGTTCCCAACTGCGCGAGATCGACGCGCATGCTGTTGATCACTGGATTGTTTGGTCCAGACTTCGATTATTTATAGCTAAGATACATAGCGTTCACTAACATGAACGCCATGTTAGTGAACGCTATGCATCTTAGCTAGATTATTTACAGACCGCCGCCATATAGCTGGACTATCGCTGAGTGCGCGGGCGAAATCTAAACTCACTCACTCACTCAGTTGGTTCAGTAAACTACTTTCTATCATTTGCTAGACTATGCAAAGGGAGATAACGCGTGCCTCGCATTCCTCTATCTCTCGCACGAAAGAGTCTCGATCTAAGCTTGGATCGGATCGTAAGATCGGGACCGGCTACGATCGGCCTAAGATCGGTTAGTGGAACGGGTGTAACTTTTAGCTAAGGCGATTGTAAAATTGGCGTAACTTACTAAGATTGATCTTAGATAAGATCGGTTAGTGGAACGGCACCCTCGGCCCTTATTCTCGAAACGTTCGTAGCCCTAAGAATTCTTAACTTTGATCGTAGCCAGTGTGTTAAGAATGGGCTTAAGAAGTTCGTAGGGCTATGAACGTTTCGAGAATAAGGGCCCTGATCCACAAAGTGTTCATAGTGCTACGACACTGGTAAGCCTATGATAAACTATAGAGATATGACAGGTCGTAAGCTTTATGGATTGGGTCCCTGGTTTCTTGAACAGATCGGAGGTTGGTGAAAATTTAACAATGAAACTTTTGATCGTTATTTGTCTTCTGACACTACCTGTAGATTTTTTATTACTGTGAGATGATTACCACTTGTAAGGTCTTTCATTACTGAAATCAGTTTGGGAGTATTTAACAAGACCAGAACAACAAGTTAGTTGATAGTAATTTATTAAGTAAAAAGACCCGTCTAAACTGAAAAAACATGAAAAGATAAAAAAATACATAAAATGGGCAACCAGTGCCATTTTTTGTACATAGAAATAGGTTGTTCTGTATACATTGTATATAACAAACATAAACTAATGAAAAAACCAGTGCGTGAACAAAAGTGTAATTAAATCTTCTTGTACTTTATACGCAGGTGCTCTGTCATGTCTGTGTTCTCTGTCTTCATGGAGACAACTTGTTCAAGGATGTCACCAGATCTTCGGAATTCTCTCATTATCTGAAAAAGATTTCACACTGTATGTAGTGGTTGAAAACAGCAATCAGCTTCATATAAGACCTGCTCTATTGTGTCGAGATGTAAAGTGACTTGGTCATCACAATAAATCAAAACACAGTACATACACCACTAGTGTGTCATACAGACCCTGAAACAAATATTTCTGTCATACAGACACTGAAACAAAATATATCCAATACAAGTTTATAATATGTGGCAAGCCTGGATTACTGTCATACAGACCCTGAAACAAACACACCCAATATATCCCATGCAAGTCTAGAATATGTGGGAAGTCTGGATTACTGTCATACAGACCCTGAAACAAACACACCCAATATATCCCATGCAAGTCTAGAATATGTGGCAGGTCTGGATTACTGTCATACAGACCCTGAAACAAACACACCCAATATATCCCATGCAAGTCTAGAATATGTGGCAAGTCTGGATTACTGTCATACAGACCCTGAAACAAACACACCCAATATATCCCATGCAAGTCTAGAATATGTGGCAAGTCTGGATTACTGTCATACAGACCCTGAAACAAACACACCCAATATATCCCATGCAAGTCTAGAATATGTGGCAAGTCTGGATTACTGTCATACAGACCCTGAAACAAAACACACCCAATATATCCCATGCAAGTCTAGAATATGTGGCAAGTCTGGATTACTGTCATACAGACCCTGAAACAAACACACCCAATATATCCCATGCAAGTCTAGAATATGTGGCAAGTCTGGATTACTGTCATACAGACCCTGAAACAAACACACCCAATATATCCCATGCAAGTCTAGAATATGTGGCAAGTCTGGATTACTGTCATACAGACCCTGAAACAAACACACCCAATATATCCCATGCAAGTCTAGAATATGTGGCAGGTCTGGATTACTGTCATACAGACCCTGAAACAAACACACCAATATATCCCATGCAAGTCTAGAATATGTGGCAGGTCTGGATTACTGTCATACAGACCCTGAAACAAACACACCCAATATATCCCCCATGCAAGTCTAGAATATGTGGCAGAAGTCTGGATTACTGTCATACAGACCCTGAAACAAACACACCCAATATATCCCATGCAAGTCTAGAATATGTGGAAAGTCTGGATTACTGTCATACAGACCCTGAAACAAACACACCCAATATATCCCATGCAAGTCTAGAATATGTGGCAAGTCTGGATTACTGTCATACAGACCCTGAAACAAACACACCCAATATATCCCATGCAAGTCTAGAATATGTGGCAAGGTCTGGATTACTGTCATACAGACCCTGAAAACAAACACACCCAATATATCCCATGCCTGAATAAGTCTGGATTACTGTCATACAGACCCTGAAACAAACACACCCAATATATCCCATGCAAGTCATCAGACCCTGAAACAAACACACATGCAAATCTAGAATATGTGGCAGGTCTGGAACTGTCATACCCCTGAATATGTGGCAAGTCTGGATTACTGTCATACAGACCCTGAAACAAACACACCCAATATATCCCATGCAAGTCTAGAATATGTGGCAAGTCTGGATTACTATCATACAGACCCTGAAACAAACACACCCAATATATCCCATGCAAGTCTAGAATATGTGGAAAGTCTGGATTACTGTCATACAGACCCTGAAACAAACACACCCAATATATCCCATGCAAGTCTAGAATATGTGGCAAGTCTGGATTACTGTCATACAGACCCTGAAACAAACACACCCAATATATCCCATGCAAGTCTAGAATATGTGGCAAGTCTGGATTACCACAGTTTATGTATGAAGAAAGTCTTTGGGCTCCTTTTTATTAGAGTGCAATAGTGCAGTGGTAAGGCGTCTGCCTATCACACTGAAGGCCCGGGTTCGATACTTGGTGGAAGCACCTAGGTTCGGGTCCCGAGGTGGGAACACTTGCGTAGTATCCTTGGACAAGATACTTAGATCCACATGTTCTCAGTTCACCCAGCTGTAAAATGGGTACCCGTGAGGATGTGCTGGGATTGTGAGTGTTTAGTTCATTGCGCCTAACAGGCAGCATGGCTGTATGCTCCCTAGGGAGTTGAAAAAGTATTGAAAAGTATGATAGTGTCCTATGACCGGGAATAGTCATGTACGTAGCGCCGTGAGTAGGCAATGTGCCTGGATATGAGCGCCATATAAGCGGACTATAACTATTACTATTATACTTATTGAACATAAATTAGGAGCTTTTTTTTTTCTGTAAAATATGTTCACTTCAGAGACTTGAGACCTGTGACGATTCGAGTAAAAATCGATCTTCAGTAGCCCATGCTTGTCGTAAGAGGCAACTAATGAGATGAGGTGGTCTGGCTTGCTGACTTGGTTGACACACGTCATCGTATCCTAACTGTTTAGATCTCAATGCACATGTTTGCTCTTGATCACTGGATTGTCTGGTCCAGACTCGATTATTTACAGACAGACGCCATATAGCTGGAATATTGCTGAGCGCGGTGTAAAAATCACTCTCACTCACTCACTCACTTACTCAGAGACTTGAGGTTAGTCTAGTACACCGAAAGTATGAAAGTCAGTCAGGTCTCAAACATTTAGACTCACTTATTATTACAAAAGTGAATTCCAAGAAACAAATTTGTACTGCATGCTTCCTATCCAAATTCAACTTATTTTATCAAAAACATATCACAGGTTTGTGTTGTTTCTGAAAATATCACAGTCATGTTTCATTTTCCAAAACACAATTTTCTTTTTAAACTGGAAGTTAAACAGCAATGGAAGTTTAATATTACATATTGCAATGTTCCAGTTTCTCACCTGTTTTGTCTGGGGCGGCTTTCCAAACGTCAGTCTTCCCACAGTATGTGATGTCGTCTTTAGTGACTCCCCAGTTACCTCCCCTTCTTCGATCTCACTCAGTCCTGGCAGAGAACATTTGAACATGTGAAACATCTGGAATATATACCTTCAGGCTACCTCAGATGTCATTGTTTATTCAAGTGAGTGAGTGAGCGAGTTTAGTTTTACGCCACATTCAGCAATATTCCAGCTATATGGTGGCAGTCTGTAAATAATCGAGTCTGGACCAGACAAACCAGTGATCAACAGCATGAGTATCGATCTACGCAATTGGGATACGATGACATGTGTCAACCAAGTCAGTGAGTCTGACCACCCGATCCCGTTAGCCGCCTCAAGCATGGGTTACTGAAGATCAATATTCTAACCCGGACCTGCACGGGTAGCCGCACTCAGCAATATTCCAGCTATATAGCGGTGGTCTGTTTATTCAAGTCTGTGTTGTGTTCAGTCTTACAAGACACATCACAAATTCAAATACTATTATCACATCACTGCAAGCAACCGTTGTTGTGATTCATTCAAGTGCTCAGTGAACCAAACCGTTTCCCTTCATGAATTCAATTCATTATTTGCGATCAACTAATTAAATGAATTTTGGAAAGGAGTTCTTTTTACTTGAATTTGGTGTTATTCATCAACAGTGTGCAATTTTGCTATTGACAACCTGCAATGGTGTATGTGTACAATGGCTGTGTACAGCCGTGCAGGTTACCTTCAGTAACAGGTTGCACTTGGTGCAGGTAACAATAAATCTTCCATCTTATAACTGTCATTGTGTGTTTTATTTGGGAAGTAAGTGACTGTAAGTAATACATTTCTCTCCGCATGACTTGTTACACCATGAACATTTGTGTACTCAGTAATCATTTAATTGAGATTTATAAATATAGGTAATGCAAAATTGAATCCCTCATCATGTATCGTCATTGGGTCAGGTTCTGTATGTATCTGATTCTGAGGACTTGTTATAAAAAATTTAAACAAGTATTTATGTTACTTTTTAGAACCAGTGAAATTTTGATGGTGCAACCAAAATTTTGATGGTGCAGCCAAACCTATAACCCAGGTTGCTCTGTGGGCAGGTACTGAATTTTTTTCGAAATCCCACCCTGATCTAAGTGAGATATGTAAATTGGAAATTTTAACTATAAATTGTATATTTATATACTTATCCTATCTCACGGTATGCACCTCTCTTCTTCTACGACCATGTGTGGAAACGTGGTGTAGGCTAGGTTGAATCAAAGCCCCTGACCTCTGCCGCCACTCCAATAGCACAACCTGTCAATAATCTCATAAGCGTGCTGGTTGCTCAGATGATTACGTGACGCTCTGTGCCTGTCATTCTCGTCTTGGAACTTCCAGTAATCTGTGATGTGGAGCAGGTTGGGTGGGTATCCATCGTGTGAGATAGGATAAGTATATAAGTATACAATTTATAGTTAAATTTTCCAAATTTTTAAACTTATCCTATTTCACGGTATGCATTATCTCACGGTTGGCAGGTGGGCCACAGATTACCCTGTGTAAACTCTACAACTGTGAGGATGCATAACACAAGGAGGCCAGGAGAAAGCACCAACTTCCGATATGCTAACTCTGAACTTGTGATGGGTTGCTTCAGATAACCCCTTAGCTTACACAGCACAAAAACTCTAGGTAGTGGGCGGTCCTGAATTAATGTGGTTTTCAGCCGCAACTTTTGACAAGCAAAAGGACGCAGTTTGGCAAGTAGACCTCGCCTCCCCACTATTTATCCAGTGACCCCAGTGAATTAAAGTCGAAGACCTTAATCTGGACAGTCCCTGCTTCGAAACTATCCCCCCCACACACACGCTGGAAGGCGGTAAAAGAGGGAACAGCCCGGTTGATCAACTCGTTTAACGTTCAGTACCAATCCCCCTAAAGACCAAAGGTGAGAAAGGACTTAGGAGTGGAACATTTCGAAAACCAAGCAGGTAATCGGAAATCAACACTACACTGACGTAATTGCTCAGAGAGTAGAGGTCAGTAAGCGGAGTGTCGACCACCTCTGCATGTAGCACAAGACTGGCCTCTCAGTCTATCGAGTCATGGGTATGACAGTGCAAACACGTCCTAGTTCCCTAGGTGAGGTGATCTATGCCCAAATATAATCCATACCAATAAGAAAGATAGGACTGATATCTTTCATGATATAGAGAATGCAAGACCTCAACGAAGGTAAGAAATGCATCTTATCTGCGTTTGCGAGCCGACGACAACTGCTGCGCCAGAACCAATGGACCCAGTTGGTGAAGACCTTCCACGTCAGTGGCAGACAGATCCCGGAGGTAGGGTGAGACGAAGACCGTGTCCAATCTCCAATACAACCCTCCATGATGCCGTGAAGGGAACAGTTCTATGTAGAGCCATCATAGAGGTCAAGCCTCTTGTCTCATGAGGGTTGGCTGTAGTAGCATGAAGGATGGTAGATCGGATCCAGAATGCCAGTGTGGTACGAGAGACTTCTGTAGATGAGGTATGTGACAGAGAAATCAACAGTCTCTTGCGTAACCTACGACGGTCCTTGGAGGCAGCTAATAGACCCGTAAAGTCCGGACAGGACATAGGGAGAGATCCTCGGTGTCGTCAGGGCCCAGAATAGTAGACGGCGGCGCGGGAAGGCGAATAGTCTGTCCGGCTATCCAGGCAACTGGTTTCAGCGACGAGATCCCACATCAAACCAGGGAGGACTTTGGTATCACTGGTCCTCTCGACGCGCAACCGGGTGACATCCAGTGCGTGAAGTTCGTAGATGCTGGCAGCAGTCGCAAGAGCCAGGAGGAAGAAAGACTAAGACGTGACATGCTTGAAATCCTTCTCTGCCAGAGGTTCATACTCCTCTGACGTGAGATGATTAAGAACCACGGAAAGGTCCCAGGCTGGTGGCCGGAACTTCCGGGATTTATCAGCAACTTTGTAAGATCTCAGAAGAGACTGGAGCTCAGGGACAGTTGACACCTTCGCACCCGTAGCCGGCGCAATAACTGTGTTACGCATGGCCAGGTATGTAGACAAGGTAGAACCCTTCAATTCCTTGGAAGTTCTAGGATGCTGGAGGTACACCCCGCGACCATCTGCGGTGATGCTGTAGTGGGACATATAATACCCATCGTCTTGTAGTACGCTTCAAAATTCTTCCATAGTCATCACAATGTGGCCTGGTAGAAGTTCGGTGCACCATGGTAATCGCCGTAGCGACTTGCTTGGAATATCCCTTTGCAGTTAGCAATTCATGTAAATGCACCAGGCAAGAAGATTAAGTGAGAGCAGAGACCAATGCTGCTGATCAGAGTGAAGATGAACCAAAAGAGCGGCGTGATCGCGAAGTGGTACTGAAATGGGTCGGCCAAGTCTTGCAGGTCTAGGAACAAACTACTGACGGGCGAAAAGGTGCGACCCAAAATCAGCTGCGTCGTGCGTAACTTGAACAGTATGCATGGAAGTAGCGCCACTGGTGGAAACGCACATGCGTTCAAGTCATCCCAGGGGATGGCTAGAGCGTCGTGTTCCCAGGACAAAGGATCCGGGATCGGGGACCCCAATATTGGCAGCTGGTAATGGAAGCGGGTAGCAAACAGATCCACTGTCGGGTTAGACATCGGAAGGCACAAGGTCTGGAACACCTGCGGATGCAGTTTCCACTCCGTCGGGTATGGTCGAGCCGGAAAGAATCTGCAATGACGTACTTCACCCCTGGGATGTGATTGGCCTGGACCGTGATGTTGAGAGAGTCCACTAAGTGGAAAAACTGTTGTGTCCACTGAAGAAGCTAAGGAGACCCCGTGGATCCCATTCAATTGATGTGCCACACGACTGCAGCATAGTCCGATCGAATCAAAAGCTTGGTTGATTGTAACAGGTGTTGTCAATGAGTGATCGCAAGAATCACTGCCCTGAGCTCCAAAACGTTGATGTGACATGCGCGGTCTGCGGGAGACCACAGCCCTGCCAACTGCTGATCGAGAAAGTGAGCTCCCCAACCATGTCGAGAGGCGTCTACGTACAGGTGAGGTACTGTAGCAAACGGCCTTCGCCGCAAACATTCAACACGTCCAAACACCACTGGCGATGGGGATGGAGCACTGGAGAAAGAAAGATCAATGCGTGAGGGTCGCCGATCCTGATGTGCAGACACAGAAAATATTGGAGAGGCCGTAGTTGAAGCTATCCCCTGAGAGTCACAACTTGAGCTGACGTCAACAGAAAAAGATCTTGTAACTGACAAAGAATCTTGGTTTGCGAAAGCGCTAGGGGTACCATAGAAACTCCAGCGCAGACATTCAGTTCACGGAGCCACCACTGAAGGACTGGACGAAGCGGTTCTGGAAGGCGACCCAATTCCTTCGGCAAACTAGGAGTCTGTGAAATCGTCACCAAGGTAGAAGGCCGAGACTGTGCTGCAGAGGTTGTTAGCACTACCACTCTCGGAGGAGATAAAACTTGTCTGGAGACGGGACTAGACGTTTGAGGACGAAAGAGACGACGGAGATTCTCGCTCAAGTAGGAGTCTGAGGCCACCTCTAAAAAATCTTCGTCCAGGGACGGTGATTTAGATCAACGAACTGCTCTCTTCGAACGGCGTTCTGATTTAGCACGCTTAGAAGTTGAAGGACCGTCAGCAGTTGTACGCCGATCTCTGTCCGATCTACGTCTAGATGCAACCAGTCGATATTCAGAAAAGTCATCATCATTCAAGTGTGAACAAACAGAACACCGATGTGACCAACTCCAACAGCCTATACAATCCACACACAAAGCATGTGGATCAGCAGCGGAAAAGTTGCTGTTGCACTGATCACAGTGTTTGCGTTTCTTAGAAGAACTTCGATTCAATTTTCCCATATTGACAATCAAATAAAGTCTAACTGAGAGAACAACACACGTCCACTCGGTGTAGCGACAAGAAAGAGAATGACAGGCACAGAGCATCACGTGATCATCTGAGCAACCGGCACGCTTATGAGATGATTGACAGGTCGTGCTATCAGAGTGGGGGCAGAGGTCAGGAGGTACATGCCAGAAAGCTTTGATTCAACTTAGCCTACAGCACGTTTCCACACATGGTCGTAGAGGGAGAAGAGAGGTGCATACCGTGAGATAGGATAAGTTTAAAAATTTGGAATATATCCAAGTCAGGCAACACTCTTAAACATGTATATGTAATTTGACATTAATATGGTCACTGGTCACTTTCATGTAAATTTAACACCACCAACAAGGTCAAAACATATTAATGAAATTATTTTTTTATTTCACTGAATATAATGAAGGTTACATCAACTGCTGACTTGCTTTTGTATTTCATACCCAATATTCATACTTGTTATCAATACTTTTGATATGTATCAAGTTCATCTCAACGTGGTTTCATGGCAAGCCTTTATCTGTTGGAATTGGGTCAAATACTTGGGGCTTTTTACCCATAACTTTTCAGTATTTGCACATGTGCCTTCTAACTATTCTTGGTATTGATTAGTAAGCTGATTGATTTGATATAACAGTGATCCATTATCAATGATTATTGATATGAAATATGTCTTTGTTCATGGTGCCCATGATAATCTTGGTTAGAACTGTTCTTTAGCGACCCATGCTTGTTGTTAGAGGCAACCAACAGGATTAGGTGGTCAGCCTCGCTGACTTTGTTGATAGATGTTATCGTATCTTAATTCAACAAACCCTTCATAGGCAAGGAAAATTGCTAATTGCGTCAATAAACAACAGACAAACAAAACATTGTTCATGACACCAAAACTAGATACAGAACTGTAACCTAAATTTGTGGATAACCTTGATTCGTGGATCGCGGAAATTATCATGCTGGCTCGTAAATTAAGTCTCGACTGACCTCACGAAGTGGTACTTTGATGTACATACAATGCCATGCCTCGCTGACAAAAAAGTTCCGAATCTCTGCATTACATGCAAGTACACTAAATATAATTGTCCAGCATTGAGATAAATAGCCCCAGATCACTAATACCACCATTACCAAATTTTATTTTTACAAAATGTCAAGTACAAAAGATACCGTTAGCTCCAACCTTCTCGCTTCTCGCTGTCTGCTTTCCTTGGTGTCATAACTTACTGCAGTGGGATATCGTACATAGTGGTATAAAGTAACCGACTACGTAATCCATGAAACAAGGTGACGTCACATTTTGTGGGCACATGAATGGGTGATGATTGCAAATGGCTTCCGTAAACAAACGTTTCATTCACGAGTGGAGTATTAGGCATTTTCAATTTGCTGAATCAATGAATAAAATAATCAGTGCGTATACAAAATGAAATCATGCATTTAAAATATGAATTTCGCTGCCCTTATATCCATGAATCAAGGTTACGCGAGTGTAATATTACGTCATCAGAACATGACAGACTTCAGTGAAAGTTACATTGTAGGGTCAAGATTTTGTCCCCATTACCTCATATTCTGTTAACATGACGACATGTAATATACAACATATCCCAGTTACAACAAAATTAGAGACTGTTGGACCCTAGTCAAAAAGTGGTGTCAGTCTTTCTCCAAAAGCTTGGTAAAGCAAATAATGGTTATAACAAACTCAAAGCAACCACTTATTAGAGTTCATAGTTCATTGTATTTGCAGGTTTGTTATAAACTTAGTTTACTGTACCTATAATTCTCTACTTGGAACAGATGATCCATAATCCGTATTTTTGCTCTTTTCGAAATAACCTACTTGTGTCATGAAACACTCACCTATGTTTTGAGCAAGTACAAAAGCCACTTGGTTTGTCCCAGGCTTGATGCGAACAAATCCAACTTCTCTGTGGAGGGGCATCTTATTTTCTAAATGCCAAGAGTAGGCGCTGAAGATAAACACAGTTGATAACAGTACTCATACATCTTGTACTAAAATATGAAACTATTACAAAATACAAGTGTCTAAACAAACACAGACCTTAACATTTATATGTATCAGTCAAAATATGGGCACGACGTGACACGTGTCTATGGAAGTCAGTGAAGAAACTGATGGGGGGGATAGAAGGAGACAATCTAAAACAAATATTTGACCTGACAATCCGGTTATCAATATTATGAACATCGATCTATGCAATGGGCATACAATGACTTCTGTCAAAATATTCAGCAAGTCTGACCACCTAATTCCATTAGTCGCCTTTTACAAGTGAGCGAGTTTAGTTTTACGCCGCATTCAGTAATATTCCAGCTGAATGGCGACAGTCTGTAAATAATCAAATTTGGACCAGACAATCCAGTGATCAACATCATGAGCATCGTTCTACACAGTTGGGATGTGTCAACCAAGTCAGCGAGTCTGACCACCTGATCCCGTTAGTTGCCTCTTACGACATGTCATGGCTTCTTCAGAGAAAAATCACTTCAATGTCTCTGCCATTAGGTCAATCAGGAACATTTATGTAAGCATTTTCTGTGCAGGTTATACGTTTAACAACACAAACAATAATGCCAAAAATATTCCAGAGCACAGAAAACATATCCCAAAACATGATCTGAAGTGAGTGAGTGAGTGAGTTTAGTGTTACGCCGCACTCAGCAATATTCCAGCTATATGGCAGCAGTCTGTAAATAATCGAATCTGGACCAGACGACCCAGTGATCAACAGCATGAGCATCGATCTGTGCAATTGGGAACCGATGACATGTGTCAACCACGTCAGCGAGCCTGACCACCCGATCCCGTTAGTCGCCTCTTACGACAAGCATGGGTTACTGAAGATCAATATTCTAACCCGGACCTTCACGGGTATGATCTGAAGTGAGTACTGAAGTGTATTGGTAATACTGCACAGCCATACTAGCGTACCTGAACTGTAAGTTTGGTTGTCCAACATGAGAAAACTCAACCTCCTCTCCATACTTGAAGTCTTTCAAAGTTGGGTATTTGCCCTGGCCCTCTTCCGATCTCCACTTCCCCAGCAACCACCCCAGGGGCTTGACCATGTCATGAAGAGCAGCACCTGCAACATAACACTCACATCCTTAAGTACAAGGCTAGTGTATCAGCAAAGAGACTGTACTACAATATATTGTGACACAAAAAATCTGTATTGGACACAAAACACTTGCTGTGGTGCCAGTTTTTTTGTTTGTTGTTTAACGCCACACTCAGCAATATTCCAACTATATTGCAACGGCCTGTAAATAATCGAGTCTGAACCTGACAATCCAGTGATCATGAGCATTGATCAACGGAATTGGGATACAGTGACATGTGCCAACCTAGTCAGCACTTTGGAAAAGAGATCTTAGCCTGTTTAATGGAATTCCATGTTAGAAACAGAAGAAACAACTAAGATATGGAGCTGCAACTGTTGTAGATAATGGAGTCTGGACCAGACAATATCAGCGTTTAAAATTCCCGCCTGCCCGACCATCAGGAACGGTCTATTTTCATCTTGGACGGTCAAATTTCAAAAGTAGCCAGTCCGGTGGTCTGGTAGATGTTTTTTAACAGAAAATATTTCATAATATCAGACAGGTTCTCTTGTAGTCAGTTTGAGGTGTTTAAGGTATTAGGATAATTATGTTAAACTATTTACGATTGGACAGTTCATTTTACAATAACCAATCACAACACATGTACTTTCAGTTTACCTAAACTCAGTGCATTGCCTGTTAGTGCTATGTTGTTCATTGCGATGCCTACAAACAGTAAAGTATTCAGAAACCTGATTATTTTTTTTTCATTGTTGAAAACCAGACAGGCAAGTTTGTATCCGGACTGGTAATTTTTTAAAGTTACCAGTCCGGGAGTCTGGCTGGGAATTTTGTGAGTTATAAACACTGACAATATAGTGATTGACAGCATGAGCATTGTTCTACGCAATTGGGATACGATGGCATGTGTCTACCAAGTCAGCGAGCCTGACCACCGGATCCTGTTAGTTGCCTCATAAGACAAGCATGGGTTACTGAAGATCAATTCTAACCCGGATCTTCACTGCTTATGGTACCAGTAAAAGCAATCTCAAAATTACAATTGGCAGGTAGGGATTATTTCGTTTTAGATTTATTAAGTTATGGTTCAAAAACTGAATGATTGCAAAACTGAATGCTATGCTCTTTGTCACCCTTCATGCTTCCTAACACATCCTGTGTCTTCCAATAAGATTTACCGGTATATCATAAACAAATTATTTTATTTTCAGAGTGACAGGTAAATTCTTGTTTGTGTCTTAAAGCTTGCAAGACAAATCTTTTGTATGAACATAAATTTTCTGGATTTCATCTTCCTTTTATTCTGATTATTAAGAATAAAAAGATGACGAAATCCAGAAAATTCTTAATGTTCATCAAATAGCATCTTCTAAAATGCCAATCAAGCATCTAATCTTTTGTATGTTACAACTTCTTTTCATACATTCGACTGCTGCAGATGTTAACTGTTTCTCTTGGTCTTATCCAGAAGCCCAGAAATAAACTACAGAGATAATAACTAAAGTTGTTTTATGTTTTCGCCAATATACTGGTACACGGAAAAATTGCATAATCAGTTCTACAGAAAATGTTACAAACATAATATTTAAACTAAATGAAATAGAATTATATTTCAGTCAAAAAATTGGTTGGTTAGTTGGTTGGTTGGTTGATTGATCGATTCTGCACTCAGCAATATTCCAGCTATATGGCAGCGGACTGTAAATAATCGAGTCTGGACCAGACAATCCAGTGATCAACAGCATGAGCATCGATCTGCGCAATTTGGAACCGATGACATGTGTCAACCAAGTCAATGAGCCTGACCACCCGATCCCCTTAGTCGCCTCTTACGACAAGCATAGTCGCTTTTTGTGGCAAGCATGGGTTGCTGAAGGCCTATTCTACCCGGATCGTCACGGGTGTACTGCAGTATGTACCTGAACCAGATCATCACGTGACTGACATCATGAGCATCACTTTACCAACTGGAACATAATGTCATACATCAACTAAGTCTGATTCTGCCACTTGCCTCTTTAAAAAAATCCATCCACCTTATCTTCACGGGATGCATAAACAGTTCTACAGAAAATGTTACAAACGTAATATTTAAACTAAATGAAATAAAATTATATTTCAGTCAAAAATTGGTTGGTTGGTTGGTTGGTTGATTCTACACTCAGCAATATTCCAGCTATATGGTGGTGGTTTGTATATAATCGAGTCTGGACCAGACAATCCAGTGATCAACAGTATGAGCATTGTAAATGGAATGAGCACTACCTTGCACAGCCATGTCTTTTGTTCTATGAGACTTCTCCAAAACTGAAACAAAAGATAATATGACAATCTTTACCTACAACAGCACGTTTAGTACAAGTAATCATGAAATCAAAAGTACTGGCTTAACTTGCCTTACATTGTCATTTAAAGAGTGAGTGGGTGAAGTTTTGAGCTGGATTTTGCTATTTTCCAGCAATGTCAAAGTTGGTGGCAGACAGAAAATTCTAAATAAATAATATCCAACTGATAAAAAAACAATTAGAATTATGGAAATGAATTATGGCATACATAAAACATGTCCATCTGACATTTCTAATGTCCTGTAAATGAAATGAAGAAAACCAGCCAGTGACATACATAAAAGAATAAATGCTAAATGTTTCGAGTGATGTAGTTTTGGTGGATTAGAAAAAGAATACTTCAACATTCAAAAAGGTCAAACAAAATAGTTAAGTTAATCATGCACAAAATTTTAAAGCAATCATTTCCGTAACATGACAGAAAGATCCCCAGAAATATGAAAGACGCAGATTTGGATGTTAGGTGCATGTTAAGCTTCTAAGTGAAAACAAAATGAAACATCTGTAATGGCCATATACAGTGTTCACGAATAGTGTCTGACCCCCTGACAAATCCGGCAGATTCGCCAACGGTCCAATAGAAGTCCACAACCCGCCGATGTTAAATCTGAAATGTGTATTTATAAATTTTATTCTATGGGTCCTGTGAATTTTCAATGGGTCAGACAGACATCTGGAACTTACAGGAAACGATGTCCTGTTACTTTGAAACACCATTCGTGAACACTGCATATACAAAAATATTCTTGTTTCTCATTAATGGCCGACACAAAAATTTGACCCATCCCTAAGATTTTTTATATTTTTTCACTAGAGAAAATGCAACTTTGACTCTCAAAATGTACATGAATTTTTCACACTTCTGTTTTGAGTTTCTATCGGAGAAAAGGTGCAAATTTCGACAGAAATGAAGGGGTTATGAACATAAAATAAAACGTAAAAATAAAATCTGCCTGCCCAACCCATATTTTTTTTAAGAAGTGATGAGAAACAAGAATATTTTTTTTATGTGGCCTAATGAATATTATATGACTTCACAAGATATAAATTATTTTGTTGTTGGTGGTGGCAGGTGTTATTCACAATAAAGAAGTTGACATCCACAAAATCTTGCTTTTCCTAGGAACTATACTTCCCATCAAAAGTTTAGACTCACTAGTGTAAATATAGCCACTTACTTCTGGCAACTGTTCTAAACTAAATTTTGCAAAATATTCCATACTGTTTAAAGGTACTGCATGTTTACACATGAGCTGATGTATTGTAAAACAAATTCGTAACGTTGAAAAGATTATTGTCATGAGTTCAATAAATGATAAAAATCAGTAACAAAACAAAACTTTACATCAGAACGTAGCTGTTCACATGCATGATATTTGAACATGCTTTTCAGCAATTTGATGCATGATCCTCGTGCAATTCATCTGCATAAGGTTTGCATGCAATTGGTTCCCCCCAAGTTAGTGGAGAAATCAATCTTCGATGTAACCATATATATATATATATAAAGAAAGTGTTGAGAATACCGAGCGTACAGTAGTACATATATAAGATATAGTGAGTGTTTTAAGTGAGTCTAAACTATTGATGGGAAGTATATTTGTAAATATACAAATATATTTTACAGAAATGTCACATGTATGACGGTCACAGTCGTAATTTAAAATGTGTGCCAGTATATCTTCATCACAGCTCTAATTTTCATACAGTTTGATAGACTGTTTGATCCCAGCGGTTTTGCGACAGTGCCGTTTTAGTATATCCCGATATCTCTTCAGGACAAGCGAGGCGTGAAGTCGGCGGGCAATGCTTGTCGACACCCGCGATGGATCAATACATGATCATGCGTGACGTTGAATCATGCACAGCCGCGAATGGCGCGATGGGGTTTTCGGCAATGTGCCATCGCCATTGCACTGGACCTCCTTGCATCACCCAACACTCTAAGAACCGTATACACGTATTTCTTTCATACACGTGAATACACGTGCAAATATACTGTTACCTTTCACCTGAGCACTCTCCTCCCACGTCAGCAACCTGGGCAACCTGTTGCATGAAGGGAATTCCCCGTTTTGGAATACAACATTATCAGCCTAGGTAGAAGGTATTGTTTGTGTGCAGTAAAAACTTCACGGAACTACAATATTGTACGTCAATTTTATATAAACAGATACAGTGCCTATTTTTCGATAAATACATAACCTATATACAGACTACTGTTTCAGATTGCTGGGATTTTCCTTTAGTAAACAACGCAAGTAAAAGAATTGTGGCACCTTAAAATAAATAAACTCTACCATGTTCCTTTACAAGTAACGGAATATTTGATTGGATAAAGCAAATCGGATTGGCCAATCATCGGTGTTATCACATACGCATTACAGTTATCCGGTCATGCGTAGAACAAATGTTATGATTTTGCAAGGAAATGGAGTTTGATGGTAAGTATAATATCGAACAGAAACTACGCCGTTACGTTATTAAATATGTTGATTGTAGTGGTTTGTTAATGGAGAATGTTCAGCCAGTTTAATCTCTCCACTCATAGCTCCAGAGAAATTGGCTCTCATTTATTTTGGGGTCAAGTAGAAACAGCTGACGTCTCAGTCACTGACGAGAATAGGGAAATGACAGGTCATCTGATTATGAGTGAGCAGTCCCGAGTGTTGGCTATTGTTACTAAATTTACATACCCATTGTTACGAGCAACAGCCCCGACATCAACGAGGACGTGTAATCAGGGAAGAGTTCACAACGTAAATCATATTTGCAGCAATGTTGATAAAGTACGTCATCACTGTTTACGTGCATAATTTCCTTTTTGCTGATACCAAAATAGCCCCCGAGTCGAGTCGCTCGGGACACAGAGTGGATTGTTGTAGAAGTTATTAATGAAACATGTGGAAACACTCATTCGGGGATCATCTCATACTGGGGAAGATGCGTCCAGACTTTGCTGCCATGTCCATGTGTTTTTGGTTAATTTCAATCTCAGTCAGTCACATGTGTTTAGTAACTTGAGTAATGCAGCATAAACATATTTTCTAATATTACATAATCATGATAATAGTGCATCCTCCATCCTCCTTCAGTTTACACTGATTGGACAACTAAAACCAGTGATTATGATAATGCTGGCTTTGGCGTATATGCTACATGGGCACAACATGTCCACCCTGATGATATCTGCATGGGGAGAGGTAGCAGTTGTGACATGAAGTTAAACTGCACAGACTGTGGCTGGAACTTTTTCAAGATAATCTTTGGTTCAGGTTGTCGCTAAAGTAACCACTCATGCTTCATTGTTTTAACATGTTTGAGTTTCATCATCATGATCCTAGATGATTGATATTTCTGTGTACATTTCATGAATTTAAGAAATGATTGAACAAAAACCACTGCTTTGGATTTAGTCAATTTTCCAAAAGGGCCCATGAAATACAAATCTGAATAGAACTGAGGATTAGTTTGAGTTAGCACGTTTATGTCCACATTTACTTTGTCTATCCTGTTTCATGTTTATTCATCTATCATATGATGGCTAGTACTTCTTGATGAAGAATTCTTGTTGAATCCAATCTGTAATTGATGCCTTGCCTACCTTAGATATGTTTAGACTGTCATGACATAATGAAAGTAAATCATTTTTTTTAACACTTTTCATCATTACGATATTTGCTCAAGACTCGGTACCACAATGCAAATTAGTCAGTCTCTAACGAGGCTATGTTTATATGCATCAGATTGCACGCATATGGCATGTATCATGTGTAGTAAAGACTGTCATTATGTTCCCTTCTGTAGACAATGGATTCATGCATGATAGTTGCCATGGTTGCTTGTAAATTGTCTCACCACACTCGTGATATTGTTATCTCAAAGGCCAAACTTTGCACATAACATCATTTTCAGTGCATTTCTGTCTTACTATAGTGAGTTTAATCAGCTGATCTTAGCAGACTCAAAAGAACAAACTCTGGTTTCAGACTAGTTACCATGGTTACTCCATGCAGTGTTTGATGTTGAGCCTGTAAGTCAAACAGTTTTAGATCAGTTCATTTTCTAGGAATGGTGACTGGTTGACATCCAAGATGTTTTGGAATTTTTTTCAGTTTAATAATGGTAAACAAGAATGTCCTATCTTCCTGTGATGATAAAATCATCAAGAAATATCCTTTTGTCATTTGATTCTGTCATTTTGACTTAACACCAGGGACCCATTCCACACAGCGATCTTGGTGCTATGATGATCGTAAGTCCATGTTAAAGTATGGGAGTTCACCTTAGAGCTAAGATCACTTTGTGCGAGAGGGACCAAGGGAACTGGTGTTACAAGTTGTGGAGTTAATAAGTCCCTGTGGGTAAAGTCATGTGACTATTAATCTTCTAGTGCCTCACAGTCAGCTTGGGTTATCCGGGGTAATAATAATCAGACTGTGTGCTTTGAGCATGCTTATGTATGGAAATAGCACCATAGAAATGCACTATTATTATTATATTCAAATTCTACTGCAAACAAAACTCACGGGCCCCAGAACTCTCCTTAATTTGAGATACTGGCAGGCCACTTAAAGTCCAGTCAGTATCTGACAGGAGTGTATACGGGGAAACCAAAGACCTCGGTTCGATTCCCCACATGGGCACAATGTGGAAACAAAATGTTACCTTGTCCATAAGTGAATGTTCTTTTCATGCTTATGCTCAAGAAAAATTCAATGTATAGTGCATGTTTTGTTTTGTAATTAATGTTTTTGCTGTGTGGGTTTTATTCCCTGTTGCTATTTGCATGATGATTTTGTTTGTAATGTTTCTGCACTGTGAGTTATTATTTGTAAATTTTCAGTGTTTTTTGCAGCAACGTTCACGTATGAAAGTGGTCCCTTACAGTATGTGGAATTTCCAAAGACAGAGGAACCCCTGTACATCCTGGGGGGAGAAGTACAGTACGCTGTATGGTAAGTGTTGATATAGGGCATGGGGAGTAGTATAGTATACACTTCAGTATAGTGTTCATACTGTGATATATCATTATATGTCAGATAAATCAACATGGTTTTATTTGTTGCAGAAATGTGCTTCCAGTATGCACAAACTTACATCATGGAGGAAAAAAAAAAGTCATATACAATATTATTCATTATGGCAAATTCTGATAAATACATTATAAAATACAGTACTCTTCCCTGTATATCATTACTTTACAAGACCATCACATTTCCTGTAAGGACTCTTGTAGTTCGTATTCGGCGTCCTCTGGAACCTTAGTTTTGCAGGGCAAGGTAAAACCTGTGTCAATGTTATTACTGTAGCAGGACGTGGAGTCATTCCACAGATGACATCCTTACCTTCTCAGCTTGCTGACACTAGGGTTGTAGGGCAAGGTTAAACCTGTGTCTATGTTGTTACCGCCCGCATAGGCAGATCCAGTTTATTAAATGACCCATGAAAAGTGTGCACTCGCCCTTTCTCAAAAAGCTGTATCCGCCCCTGCACCCTACAAGTAATGGAGCGTTTGTTGTTTTCAGACATGGAGGACCTGAAACATGACATAGTGACAAGGCTGTGGTTTACATACAGGAAGAACTTCGCACACATAGGTAGGACAAGTTGTACCTGCAGTAGTAGTAGTTGAAGTGATTTTCCTTTTGCTGTAGCTAAAGAAAGCATTTAAAATTTCTGCTCAGAATAATTCCTCAGTGACTGAAAACGTAGGTGATCAGGTTTTGCATTTCTGGTTGTGAGGATCTTTGCTCATTATGTCAATCACTGGATTGTTTAGTTACATATCTGTATTATGTTACCTCACACATAAATGTCGCTTTCTGACTGGCTGAGCGCGCTCTTCTATTATGTTCAATGTACCCAGCTTACAAACGAGTAACATTTCAATGTGCCCCACTGTCAATGGCAACTCATTTGGTACTTCGTGGTAGTAATTCTTTATCTCGAATAACATTGAATCACATATGATGTACGGAAATTACCGATGTTTTGCGAATGCAAATCGATGGAAGGGGATAACTCTAAATCTGTTTTTCTTGTCAGCAAAATCTAGCGATGGCTACAAAAAGATTTGTACCTGTGCTTCAAACAATTCAAAATTAACATTAAGGTGTTCGGTAAGATAAATACGTTGTTCACTGGTCCCTCGGGGCCCATGGGTTGATGTACCCTCGATGTTTGTTAACATAAACAAACATCGAGGGTACATCAACCCATGCCCCCCTGTGACCAGTGAACAACTTATATTGTATACTTTGAATGTTGCTGAGTGTGGCGTTAAACAACCAGCAACAAAAGTGTATTGACCTATAGTACGGTGGCTAGATGCTGTGCAGAAATTGTCTGTTTCCTATTTGCCTTCTTAACGGGAAAATCTGATTGCACAAAGGGTGAAATGATCCCTATTTTGCAGCTCTGTCCTAAGTGAGTGAGTGAGTTTAGTTTTACGCCGCACTCGGCAATATTCCAGGCGGGGGTCTGTAAATAATCGAGTTTGGACCAGACAATCCAGTGATCAACAGCATGAGCATCGATCTGTGAAATTGGGAATCGATGACATGTGTCAACCAAGTCAGCGAGCCTGACCACCCGATTCCGTTTGTCGCCTCTTACGACAAGCATGGGTTACTGAAGATCAATATTCTAACCTGGACCTTCACGGGTACTGTCCTAAGTAATGGGATACATGATCAAGTTAGACAGTCACATTGATTGTCATGACAAGTCCTTTGTCATATCCTTGTATTTGTTAAACAAGCCCACCAGAGCTGAAGGTAGCATGGTGTGTGACAGGTCATCGTGGATGTACTTGAAAAATACTGCAATTTACACGTCAAGTTTGGAATCCTGGATGTGTTTTGTATTCTGCTTGTTTAGACCAAACAATGAAAACCATCAGAAAAAACTCATTTTAAATAAAAATAGGTACACATATTCCAAGCAAGACGCAATACTCACAAAGTGTGCATCTTGATAACTAAAATACACTATGTTTTCTATGGAGACCGGGGACATTAGGGTACCAAGTGGTTATAGTGTTCACTCATGATGCTGAAGATCTAGGTTCTATTCCCCACATGGAAAGAATGTGTGAAACCCATATTTGGTGTCCCAAACGTTATATTGGTGAAATATTCCTAACAGCGGCGCTAAACCACTCACTCGCTCGTGATTCCATAGTTTGGTTGCCCTCTGCTGGTCTTCATTGGCAGGTCTATGCCTGAGTGTGGCATCCTGTGTGCTGTAGTGTTGGGAATTGGTTAAAATCTCATAATTGATGATTGGTCCATTACAACCGATCAATCATCGAAAATAATTGGTTAGTATCAAATGTTCCTGTTATCTTTGATAATGCACACAAACATGTAGTAATTTGGGTTTTCCAAACTGCACAACATCCATTTGCAAATTTTGAATATTTAAAGGAAGATTAGTATGTTAGGAACACAGATTTCCTGGATTGTTTAGATAAATTCAATCATGACTTGTAAGGAGCTTGTGGTGCTTATGAAATGTAAACTTAATGACACTGACAAAACCAACCTTGTGAAAAATGTTGTTGATGCAAACAAGTGTTCCAAGATTGGTTGCATTCGATTATGAGAAAACGTGTTCGATTGCTTGGTAGTTTAGTCATTGCGACCAACCTTCGATTATTTCAATTAGTCGGACCACCACTAGTGTGCTGAGTCTCTGTTGTGTATGCAGGTGGTTCAGGCCCCAACTCAGACCAGGGATGGGGCTGTATGCTGAGATGTGGGCAGATGATGCTGGCCCAAGCCCTGTGCAGCAGGCATCTAGGAAGAGGTGGGTACTGTGTGGGTTAAGACTGACTTGTAAACCAAAAGTCACCGTGTTCTATAATGACTGGTTGAAAAACATGATCGAATGGCATTCGATTCACGGAAATTGTAAGACTTTTCTCTGCATATTGACACATACAAATATCGCACACAATTGTATCGTTGCGTCGTCAGCAGTGGTGACGTCATTCAAATCACATTGTGACGTAAAATTGGAATGACGTCACAAATGAGCAGTTCCAGATGCTACCATGGGAACCAGCTGAAACGGCCAGCTGATGACACTTCACTGCTGTACCCATACACGATGTCAATGAGTGCAGACAGTAAAACCCATGTGGGCCTTTTGGTTTACTTTTGTGTTTACAATATCGATAAACATCATGTGTTGGCCAATTTCCATGTGTTGTTGAGTATTTGAAGCACGGGAATATTTCATTTGAAACCTTCGGCTAACGCCGTTGGTTCCAAATAAATTCCTGTGCTTCAAATACTCAATAACACCCGGAAATTGGCCAACACATGATGTATATCTCCTAAATGATACATTGCTCACGATACAAAACATATCACGATACACTGCTCACGATACAAAACATATCGCGATACACTGCTCACGATACAAAACATATCATGATACATCCCTCACGATACAAAACATATCACAATACACTGCTCATGATACAAAACATAACATATACACTGCTCGCGATACACTGCTCATGATACAAAACATATCACAATACACTGCTCATGATACAAAACATATCGCGATACACTGCTCACGATACAAAACATATCGCGATACACTGCTCACGATACAAAACATATTGCGATACACTGCTCACGATACAAAACATATCGCGATACACTGCTCACGATACAAAACATATCGCGATACACTGCTCACGATACAAAACATATCATGATACACTGCTCACGATACAAAACATATTGCGATACACTGCTCACGATACAAAACATATTATGATACACTGCTCACGATATAAAACATAACATATCGCGATACACTGCTCACTTATACAAAACATATCACTGATACACTGCTCACGATACAAAACATATCGCGATACACTGCTCACGATACAAAACATATCGCGATACACTGCTCACGATACAAAACATATCGCGATACACTGCTCACGATACAAAACATTCGCGATACACTGCTCACGATACAAAACATATCGCGATACACTGCTCACGATACAAAACATATCGCGATACACTGCTCACGATACAAAACATATCGCGATACACTGCTCACGATACAATATGTATCTCAGTACGCACTGTCCAGGCATGTGGAATCTATTGACTATGAATATTTCATAGCAGGATCAAAAGGAAAAAAGCCAGCTAGTAGTGAAAAAATGTTTTTCAATATTTGACTGACTAAAACAGTCAAAAGAGGAGCAAAATGACCGTACAGTCAAACACCATTGTGTTGAAGTTAATGGGACCTTGGTAAATACATCAAGTTATCCAAGGTTTAACACAACCAACAAAATATGATTGAGGAGAGAGATCATAAGTTTGACACATAAAACTTTAAGATGTCGACACCACATTGATTGACTGTATATCCAGTTGACTTTACATTGACTGCATTAAATGTGTACTATGAATGAGAGGAACACAGCAAAGGGAGACAATTTAAACAGCTCACTCTCCTGTGTTTAGTGTCATTGAACCAACAAATGATTCCCTCATGGGTAGAATCTTACAAAGTCCATTACTGGTCTTCCCTGCTGAAATATTGGCGACTTAAATCCCAAAACACTCGCTTCGTGTCATTTCAAAGTGTAATATGAGTAATGTACACAGCTTCTCTACAGGAAGAAACTTTGTTTTGATGATTTGACTGATTTCAAATAATATACATTGCAGCATGGAGGTGGGAGGCCAAGGAAGATAACTCTGACTACTGGCGACTACTGAAGATGTTCCAGGATAAGAAGAGTAGTGTTTACTCCATACATCAGATAGGTAGGCAGGGCATTGCCTCAGAGTTCAGCTGTGACACTGTTTCTTGGAGGGAGGGTGGAATTTTATCTTCAGGTCTTGTTCTCACAGCTCCAGGTTCAGAAATTGTATACTATGAGAGGATTCTGCAATCTTAAAATATGATGTTAAATATTAAATGTACTTCTCAACTCATTGACCTGGTTGGTGGTAGGGTAGCCTAGTGGTTAAAGCCTTCGCTTGTAACGCTGAAGACCTGGGTTTGATTCTCCTCATGGGTACAATGCATGAAGCCAATTTCTTGTGTCCCTTGTCGTGATAATGCTGGAATATTGCTAAAAGCGGCCTAAAACTAAAACTCACTCATTGACCTGGTTCAGAGTTCTCATGAGTGCATGGAGCTACGGGGTAGCCTTATTGTCTGCTCATCAGCTTGAAGACCGGGTTCGATTCTCTGAGAACCATGTGTGAAGCCCATTTCTGGTGTGATATTGCTGGAATATTGCTAAAAGTGGTACTCACTCAGTCACTGATGACAGCAGGGTTTTGTTGCTCTTACTATTAACCACTGTGTAAACCACATGAGTAACCAACATCAACTCATTGATCTATTTAGGCTCGACCAATTGTGCTTAAAAATAGTTTTGTAAAGATTATAGATTAGTAGATAGAAAATTGCTTGATACAATAGTTTTCAGAATATGCTTCTTCCACACCTTTTAATACTTTCATTATGATGGTTGGAATACTTAAACGGTACTTTGCTAAAGTGCTGTACTGTAGGTAAAAATAGAATATGTAACCTTGGTCTTTTTAAAAACACATAACATCTCACAATCTGATCATCTGTTGTGTTGACAGCCTCCATGGGCGAGTCTGAGGGCAAGGCGATTGGTCAGTGGTTCGGGACCAAACACAATAGCACAAGTACTCAAGTAAGCTTCATGATATGACATTATAAAATACTTGATTCTGATTGGTTAAAAAGCGGTATCCTTTACCAACTGAAACCTCTATAAACTTCAGTATTTGCACTAAAGCACTTAAGCCCTAAAAAGCAAAAAAAGGGTAGCCTTGTGGTTAAAGTGTTCACTCGTAATGCCGAAGTCTCTGATTTGAATCTCCAAATGGATACGTGTGATGCCCATTTCTGGTGTTCCAATGATATTGCTTGAATATTGCTAAAAGTGGTGTAAAACCCAACTCACTCATTTTGTCCATCGCCATTACCAATCAGTGCCATTAGCCACTGGCTTCCCTTCTTAAGAGCACGTTTGTTATGTTTTCACTTTTACACGGGTGAAAATAACCCATTGCCTGACGTCCAAGTCCAGTGTTTTTTTCTGTCGGGCATGCAAATTTGTATATCACGCTGTACCGGTGTCCAGTTGACTTTCCAATATTAATAATGTTATTTATTTAAAAAAATCAACACGAAAACGGCCGGTATAGTGGTCAAATTATTAGGGCAAGTGATTTTACATGTGCCACTGTACCGGAGTACACTAGCAATTTTAAAGTTATTTCCACCCCTGTTTTATTGCTTTCACATGGACAAATATAGCTATCTGCTTCCATGTTTTTCATTCACCTGATGAAGGAATAAGAATATACTCAATACATTGTGTTAATATAATTACAGAAGTTGACATTTATACAATTTTTCTTTTATGAAATAAATCAAGTTAAAAGGTTCAAAGTACTATTGTATTGTAATATGCTTAAAATTCTGTTATGTTCTCAACATGCCGAAAGGAGTATATGAGTGCCGAAAAATGCATTATCTTTAGTGCTATTTGTTAGAACCAGTGTATTAGTTGTTTATCGTTAGCTCATTCACTATTTCTCTTAATTATTATGATACAATGAATAGATGCAATAAGTATTCATGGAGTTAATGGTTTCCAACTTAGTTGACCCTCTTGTCTGCCATGTTTTTGTATTTTAGGAAGATTGCTGTATATGATGACTGGAGCTCGTTAGTTATCCATGTTGCTATGGACAACACTGTGATAGAAGATGATATCAGTAAGTTGTCTCGCCATGCCAATTGTAGACCTGGAACCTGTAAATATCTGGGTCTTCCGCAAGACCCATGCTTGTTGTAGATGGCAAATGGGATTGGGTAGGGGTGAAAAGGTACGCTCTTACCACGGTGTGTTACGTATTACGGTACAAAGTCTTCGGTTTGGTTCGGTACGGTTCGGTTCAGTTCGGTTCGGTATATGAGACATGATCATAATGCAGAAAATTGACAACAAGAGCAATCGAGCAAAGAAACGCATACATTTTGAAAAAATGATTTGATTTCCAGACATTTTAGAAAAAGTTTGAAAAGGTTAATAAAATGTTGGTTCGAAAACCGAAAATACTAAATTTTTGGATTGCATTACGGTATACCAAACCGAAAGCAAAATTCCGTGGTTATAATAATACCGCAGTATATCGTCTCACCCCTAGGATTGGGTTGTCAGACTCGCTGAGTTGGTTGATACATGTCATCATATCCCCATTGTATACATCAGTGTTCATGATGTCAATCACTGGATTGTCTGGTCCAGACTTGATTTTTGTATTGACCACTGCTGGAATAATGCTGAGTGAGGTGTTAAACAACAAATGAAAAAAAAACCAAAAACATTCAAAACCTGGGATGAGTTCTCAAGCTGATCTAAGTTGAGAGCTGAAGTTAAAGTAATAGAAGTGAAGTGTCTTGCATATTGTATTTTTATTTATTTCTATATCTTTAGGAGGTATTTGCTTGATAATTTTAGAAAGAAAAACTAAACTACAAAGGTTATTATAACATATGTTGTATACTTTCTCAGTGTAGTACAGATTCTGCTATATTTTGTGTTGAGTCCCATTCAGGATTTGAACCCACACTCTCAGAGTAAGACACCTGTAGTTTGTTTGCAGTGAGGGGCGGTGGGGTAGTCTAGTGGTTAAAGCGTTGGCTCGTCACGCTGAAGACCCGGGTTCGAATCCCCACATGGGTACAATGAGTGAAGCCCATTTCTGGTGTCCCCCGCCGTGATATTGCTGGAATATTGCTAAAAGCGGCGTAAAACCAAACTCAGTCAGTCAGTCAGTGTTTGCAGTGAAAACATACCGATGAATTTCTCTTTAAACAAAAAAGTAACTCGAATAAAGTGAAATTAAGATTGCGAATCATCATAATTTTACCTTAAAAACACGAGAACAAGTAGGGTTGGTCTAAGTTATTGTTCATCACGTTAATTTGATTCACTGTTCCAACTACTGTGCTTACCCCCTTATAATACAAATCAATAATAGCGATGTGAATCTATGATCGTTTGTTAAACAACTTTTTTCCTATGTTGAATAAAATTCTGAGATTTAAATGTTCAATTGGCAAGGTAAAATTATGAGGATTCACAATCTTCATTTCACTTTATGTGATTGACTATTTTGTTTAAAGTGAAATTCATCTGAACGTTTTCACTGCCAACAGACTATTGCCAGCACACAAAGTCAGTAATCTAACCCACTCAGCTACCACTTCCAGTTCTAAAAGCCGTTCAAAGAATATCAAAGTCGTTTAATTCAGATAATTATTGAAATTTACATCACAGTACACTACACCATTTCAGTACTTTACAGAACCTCATATTTCCTGTAAGGAGCCTTGAATAAATATTCAGAGGTCCCTTTGACCTGTATTATTGAAGGTCTGTTTAAAACTGTAAGACACTGAAATCTTTCCTTTCTCTGCAGGGAAATTATGCAGGCTTTTGCCAGAAAATGGCACGGAATATGTTGACATGAACGGATCAGACTCCAACGTCTTTCCCTCAACTCGGAGTTCCCGGAAGACACAGCCATTCACGATAAGTGGCAGCCTACAGACACAGCCGTTCTCACGGGGCGGCAGAACACATTCCCCAGGGAGCAGTCATTGTCTCGGTCGGTCGCCACCACGGAAACCTGTCAACTTGGACAAGTGGAAGCCCCTACTCCTTATCATTCCCCTCAGGTTGGGGCTGACAGACATCAACCCTGTATATTTTGATAGTTTAAAGGTATGACGAGGAACAAATTTGCTCTTTTTAGGAAACATCACAAACGATTTATTTCTATTGGTGTAACACAAAGCCCCATCAAGTGTGCAGGATGAGGTGAGCCCACAGCAAATGATTTTGGATTCATTTAGGAATTTGATGAATGTCACATCTAGATAGATAAGGTGAGATGGTTTTTTCGAAAGTTGCAACTTCCGTTTCTTTAGGCAGAACATCTTTATAAGTCTTCATGTCAGTTTGTACAGTCAGTGTGTTCGTATCTTTATTTTCATAGCTTTTGTCCAGGTGAGCTTTCAGTGGCTTCCGCCAACAGTTTTATGTCGACCATTAGTTTCAAAATATGCCCTTCCAGCACCAAGAACCTATTTTAGTAGTGCCAAAAGGACCCGTAAGTAGGCCACGGCACTTCACGAGACCTTAGTACTTCCGGTGACAAAGAAGTTTCATACTTTTTTGAATGATCTCATGGTTGTCAGTTGACATTAAGGAACCCATAATCCTTGCAGGAATAACACATTTCAGATCTAACCATCACCAAATTAGCCAACTATTATGACTGTCAATAGCTGTGAAGCCAAGAATGGTTGTACACTTGCTCCGGTCAAGAAAAGTCATATTTGGCAGTCGTGTAACTTTGAACTAGAACTGGTTCTTGAATATACGCTTGTCAGGGGAAATCTTTTACTGGAAGTAAGCTGGGCCCGGCTCAAAGGTAGCCGGGAACCAGCTTAACGAGACTTACAGGCCGTATACAAGGAGTTTCAAACACTGCAAATGATGAAAACGTACTGATACAACTGTCTATGAATGTCGAATACAAGTTTTTCTCTTCAAATCTAGATCTTAGTGCTCGCTACAAATAGGATCAGAGGACATCCCATTACAAATGTTGAGAGGTTTGGGACTTGTCATGAAGCCTGTGTATTTGTTTCAGAGCTGTCTTGCCTTGAAGCAGTCTGTGGGTATCATAGGAGGCAAGCCAAACCATGCCCACTGGTTCATAGGATATCTGGGTAGGTGGACAGCAGCGTCTCTGGTGTCATTATCTTGTCATTAGGTAATGTTAGTATTTTTGTTGAAAATGCTTACATGTTGTGTTGTGAATTCATTTTATTATGCAAGCATATTTTTCTGGCTACCTGATTGGTCTAGAGGCGGTCACGTGACCATCAACAGAAAAGCATATTGACTCCAACCCAGGTCCGACCAAAAGTCATATTGACCTGAGTTACTATGATGTCAAGCTATGACGTCATTCACGTCAAGCTATGACTTCATTCTATTGTTTACATGTCACAGTATTGTTGACATGACGTTATTGGTTTGTAGTGAAAATAAAATTACTTTTCTTGACTAAATGGACATGTTTTGGATTTTAGAAGCTTTTTTTCGGTAATTACATAACAAAACAATTATAGACTGGCAAGATCGGTCAATACCTGTTTTCATGGACCCGCGAAAAGCAATATTGATCGATAATTGTACAGTGTCATTTCCATGGTGATGCAAATTCACTGCATGTTCCCAGGGCTCTAAAAATTATATAAAAATGTTTAACAATATATATATATGCTTTGGATGTGATAGTTACCTGAAAGTGAAAAAAGAATCTGCAGAATAGAAACATTGATAATAGATGTTATTTGATGTATCTGAAATCTGAAACAACACTATCTAAATATATCCAGGGTTCTGGATGAAAATGAAGAGGTCCTTGTCATGGGCCAGTGTTAACTTAAAGGGTTCCTTCTACACAAATATCAGCCATGGCAATTAGGAACAGCAATTTAGTGAGCTGTAATTGTGATAGTCTTGCATCTTCATGTTTCTTAACTGATGTTCCAGGTGAAGAGCTTGTTTATCTTGATCCCCACACAACACAACAATACACTGACCTTGACCCCCGACTGGCCAATGATGACTCGTACCACTGCCCTTTCCCCAGTCGGATGAGACTGAGTCAGCTCGACCCATCGGTTGCTGTGGTAAGTCGAATGTGGTGTTTTGCACACAGTACCAGTTTCCCTAATTAGTCTCCTGATGCTAATGAAGGATGGGGATGGTGTTGTTGACTGTGGTGACGTCAGTATACGCGGTAATGTTGACTGAATATTGCCGAGGGTGGTGTGAAGCAACAACAATCAATGAACCGGTATTTACCGGTTCAGACATGAAAACGATACGTATTGCAATACGCTGATCGAAAACCGGTATTTTGACTTGCATTCGGAAAACTTCGTAACACTTGGAAGTCTTCGGGTATTTCCTTGTGTCATTTGTGCCAAATATTATTAAAATTTATATTTTGTCAGGATTAATAGTTTTTATTAAAGCTTAATCAAGCATAGTGATTTTGTTGTGTTCATGCTTTATGAATCAAGCATTAACTCGATTATAAAAATACTTCTTGCAATATATAGCAATACATATCACAATATATGCTTTCGCATCGCAATATATCGCAATATGAAAATTCTCTGCAATACCCACCCGTAATCATAACACAGGGTATTCAAAGTCATTTTAGGACTTCCGTGACTTTGCCATGTCGGATGAGTGGAGTGAATGTGCAGGAAATCATGTTCTCATTCCTAGTTCTATAGGTAACACCCGGGTTCGGTTCCCCACATGGGTACAATGTGTGGAGCCCATTTCTGGCGTCCCCCGCCGTGATATTGCTGGAATATTGCTAAAAGCAGCGTACAACTAAGCTCACTCTCTCACAATAGGTAACACACACAAACTGCAATTTGTTTTCGTACTTCGTTGCATATGTGTGCCGGCTTTTGACACTTTCTGTACTTGCATCAGTAGGTAGGTACAAGATGTACAAGTGCTATGTTGTCCATGTGAAGATCAGGTTTAGAATTGCTCTGCAGCAACCCATGCTTGTTATTACGGGATCGTTTGGTCAGGCTCACTGACTTGGTTGAAATGTCATTGTATCCCAATTACGTAGGTCGATGCTCATGATCTCAATCACTGGATTGTCTGGTCCAGACTTGATTTATTTACAGACTGCCGCCATCTGGCTGCAATTTTGCGGAGTAAACAACAAACAAACACAGCCATGTTGATCCTAATTATCAAATTTATCGTGACTGTTCTAATGACACAATAATATCCTTGTAAAAACTTTGCAGTATATCTTGCAATCTTGAACAAAGCAAATGATATGGCTGGAGCAATTTTAAATGGCCATTTAAATGTTTGTTCCTGTTTGTGCTATTTGGAAGTTATAGGATAAGATTTCTGTTTGAAATGTTTTTGTGTGGATGTTTTTGAGGCTGTAGTCTGTCTGTTGTTCTTGACAGGGGTTCTACTGTGGCACAGAGGAAGAGTTCACTGACCTGTGTCTGACATTCAACAAGTTCATCATCAAGGCCAGCAAGACGCCCATGTTTGAGTTGCACAAGGTCCGGCCTCCCCACTGGCCTCCAGTAGACACACCACCACGCAATAGGACAACATCAAACTCAGGTGGGCTTGCTCTTTGTGTCTGGGTTGTATCAGGATATGTGTCTGGGTTGTGTAGTGTAAGTGTCAGAGCTTATGTCAGGGTTGTGTTGGGTAAGTGTCAGAGCTTATGTCAGGGTTGTGTTGGGTAAGTGTCAGAGCTTATGTCTGGGTTGTGTTGGGTAAGTGTCAGAGCTTATGTCTATGTCGGGTTGTGTTGGGTAAGTGTCAGAGCTTATGTCAGGGTTGTGTTGGGTAAGTGTCAGAGCTTATGTCAGGGTTGTGTTGGGTAAGTGTCAGAGCTTATGTCTGGGTTGTGTTTGGGTTAGTGTCAGAGCTTATGTCAGGGTTGTGTTGGGTAAGTGTCAGAGCTTATGTCTGGGTTGTGTTGGGTAAGTGTCAGAGCTTATGTCAGGGTTGTGTTGGGTAAGTGTCAGAGCTTATGTCTGGGTTGTGTTGGGTAAGTGTCAGAGCTTATGTCAGGGTTGTGTTGGGTAAGTGTCAGAGCTTATGTCTGGGTTGTGTTGGGTAAGTGTCAGAGCTTATGTCTGGGTTGTGTTGGGTAAGTGTCAGAGCTTATGTCAGGGTTGTGTTGGGTAAGTGTCTGAGCTTATGTCAGGGTTGTGTTGTGTTGGGTAAGTGTCAGAGCTTTATGTCTGGGTTGTGTTGGGTTCAGTGTCAGAGCTTATGTCTGGGTTGTGTTGGGTCAAGTGTCTGAGTTGGGTATGTCAGGGTTGTGTTGTGTTGGGTAAGTGTCAGAGCTTATGTCTGGGTTGTGTTGGGTTAGTGTCAGAGCTTTGTCTGGGTTGTGTTGGGTAAATGTCAGAGCTTATGTCTGGGTTGTGTTGGGTAAGTGTCAGAGCTTATGTCTGGGTTGTGTTGGGTAAGTGTCAGAGCTTATGTCTGGGTTGTGTTGGGTAAGTGTCAGAGCTTTATGTCTGGGTTGTGTTGGGTAAGTGTCAGAGCTTATGTCTGGGTTTGTGTTGGGTAAGTGTCAGAGCTTATGTCTGGGTTGTGTTTGGTAAGTGTCAGAGCTTATGTGTCAGGTTGTGTTGGGTGTAGTGTCAGAGCTTATGTCTGGGTTGTGTTGGGTAAGTGTCAGAGCTTATGTCTGGGTTGTGTTGGGTAAGTGTCAGAGCTTATGTCTGGGTTGTGTTGGGTAAGTGTCAGAGCTTATGTCTGGGTTGTGTTTGGTAAGTGTCAGAGCTTATGTCAGGGTTGTGTTGGGTGTAAGTGTCAGAGCTTATGTCAGGGTTGTGTTGGGTAAGTGTCAGAGCTTATGTCAGGGTTTTGTTGGGTAAGTGTCAGAGCTTATGTCTGGGTTGTGTTGTGTTGGGTAAGGTCAGTGTCAGAGCTTATGTCTGGGTTGTGTTGGGTTAGTGTCTGAGCTTATGTCAGGGTTGTGTCTGGGTAAGTGTCAGAGCTTATGTCTGGGTTGTGTTGGGTAAGTGTCTGAGCTTATGTCTGGGTTGTGTTGGGTAAGTGTCAGAGCTTATGTCTGGGTTGTGTTGGGTAAGTGTCAGAGCTTATGTCTGGGTTGTGTTTGGTAAGTGTCAGAGCTTATGTCAGGGTTGTGTTGGGTTAGTGTCAGAGCTTATGTCTGGGTTGTGTTGGGTTAGTGTCAGAGCTTATGTCAGGGTTGTGTTGGGTAAGTGTCAGAGCTTATGTCTGGGTTGTGTTGGGTAAGTGTCAGAGCTTATGTCTGGGTTGTGTTGGGTAAGTGTCAGAGCTTATGTCTGGGTTGTGTTGGGTAAGTGTCAGAGCTTATGTCAGGGTTGTGTTGGGTAAGTGTCAGAGCTTATGTCTGGGTTGTGTTGGGTAAGTGTCAGAGCTTATGTCTGGGTTGTGTTGGGTTAGTGTCAGAGCTTATGTCAGGGTTGTGTTGGGTAAGTGTCAGAGCTTATGTCTGGGTTGTGTTGGGTAAGTGTCAGAGCTTATGTCAGGGTTGTGTTGGGTAAGTGTCAGAGCTTATGTCTGGGTTGTGTTGGGTAAGTGTCAGAGCTTATGTCAGGGTTGTCAGGGCTTATGTGTTGGGTAAGTGTCAGAGCTTATGTCTGGGTTGTGTTGGGTTAGTGTCAGAGCTTATGTCAGGGTTGTGTTGGGTAAGTGTCAGAGCTTATGTCTGGGTTGTGTTGGGTGAGTGTCAGAGCTTAATGTCTGGGTTGGCAACAGAAATGTTGTTTCTGACAATAGGCAAGATGTTCCTGACAATAGACAAGTTGTTCCTGACAATAGACAAGGTGTTCCTATTGTATTCCTGACAACACACAAGGTGTCTCTGACAATAGACTGGTTGGTCCTGACAATAGACAAGGTGTCTCTGACAATAGACTGGGTGGTCCTGACAACACACACTATTATCTGTATCTGTTCCAGATTTCACAGTGCTGGACAGTGCAGAAGGAGGGACCAAGTTCGACAGTGAAGAAGAATTCGAAATTTTATAGGGACGTTTTATCTGCAAGAAAACAAAGTATTTTATGGAGAGTCTTTATGTTGAATATTTTATGTGGCACCATTGTTACATAAACCTTTTATTATTGCATGCAATGCGAAAACAGCCAAATATTCACTGCAGATGGGAGAATATAAAATAACGTAGGAGGCACTTGTGTGTGAGACAGACGAGTTGCAGGACACTATGTGAAATAAGAATACCATCTCAAATGTTTTTCAGTAGTATTCCTCAAGACTTTTTAAATGTTGATACATTAAGTTCTGTATTATTATCAAAGCTTTATGCAAGTGTATTTGTGTTTTAAGTCATCCTAGGGTATCCAGTGAATTACATCGCCATGCCGTAACAATAATGGCCTCATTCAGTGCCTCGTCTTTGTGTTCCATGAGAAACAGTGCTTAGAGTCGGGAACAATGGATATGGTGATGTATCTTCAGCCAAAAAGCTGTGGTTGTGTATAGATTGTCAATATTGAGATACTTACATTTGATAATGAAGAATCCACAGTACATTTATCAAGATTTATGATTATATGACAGCGAGCTTCTAACATGACTGGGTGGTGGGGTAGCCTAGTGGTTGAAGCATTGGCTCATCATGCCAAAGACCCAGGTTCGATTTCCCATGTGGGTACAATATCTGAAGCCCACTTCTGGTGCCCCCACCATGATATTGCTGGAATATTGCTAAAAGACATGTTATACCAAACTTACTCACTGACTCTAACATGACTAACACTTGCTGTCCAACTGACAGAGTGAAGAAGCACATATGAGTGTTCTTTGAAACCCATTTGTTCACAAGAGTTATATTCAAAAAGTGATGCTAACAGCCATATTCCAGTGAGCAGAAACAATAGTGTGTGTCACAGAGTTTGGTTCAGATTGGGATGCCAGGTCAGGGCGCCACCAATTTTTCTTTTAATTCAAGCTGATTACAGACCTTGAGGTCAGGCTTCAGCTAGGGATGCTCCTTACGTTAATCACTGGTTTGTATGGTCCAGATTTGATTATTTACACATCACATGTCTAGATTACTGCTAAATGTGGTATTAAGCAACAAATGTACAAGAAAATATTAACTTCATTAAGCCAAGTTGTAATTTCACTTGTTTTCCAGAGCATCGTGATGGATATTCAGGTAAAGCAAATTGAAGGATATTAAAACAAATCTTTGCATGGGCAATAAATTTGAATGATCTGGAGATGAGGACGGTATCTAAGTTGTAGCAGAAACACAAGGGATATTTGTGATTTAATTCGTCCTGTGTTAGGTTGTATACCAAACTGCCATTGTGAAAGAATTAAATAAATACAATATTGATAAGAAACATGAGCTGAGGTATCGTGTGATTTCCATTGACTCGTAAGCATTTTGCAGCTTTTTCATTCAAAGAAGGTTAAAATGGTTTTATCTTCCTCAGAAATTTGTTTGCCTCTGAGGCAGGATACGTAGTAGTTTATGGCCATCATGTGAACCAATTGTATTTCAGCATTCTGACAAGGAGATAATCTAATAGTTATTATCATTATTATTAGATTAGTTTGTTTTTTTTGTTTTTTTTTTAAATTAAGACCAGCTGAGAGAATGGTGCCAAGCCCAGAATGGTTTTATGTGTTTAGGTATTTATCCTGATTACATTCGTTGAGTTGTTAGTTGATTATTTTTCCTTCAAGATATTTCATTTTGTGAACCTTGCATACAAGACCATTTTAGGTAAGAACGGTTGATGTTCTTTCCTTGTTGTTTCCTGTCATGGTTAGATACAGACACAGTTCATTTACTGACAGTAATGTACAGGGAGTGGTCGCAGATGTTTGTTGACAGCATTTGAGATCATACAGAATCTGATGGATTCGTAATATTCGAGGGGCGGTTGGGTGGCCTTGTGGTTCAAGTGTTCGCTTGTCATGCGAAAGGCCTGGGTTTGATTCCCCACATTGTGAAGCCCATTTCTGGTGTCCCACACCATGATATTGCTGGAATATTGCTAGAAGCGGTGTAAAACTAATTCACTCACTCACTTATATCAGGGATAGTTTTATCTTCCAGGAAACACTATTGTCAAGTGTATATTTTAATGGTGTGGCATATCTGATGATCCCTACCAAAGATCGGTGCTCATGATGTTGATCACTGGATTTTCTGGTCCAGACTCGATTATTTACTGACTGGAATATTGCTGAGTGCGGCATTAAATGACAAACACCAACAATCCTACCAAAAGTTGAGTGGTACATTTACCCTACAAGTTGATTTCAAGGTCATGTTAGAGCTAGTGAGAACTTGAGAACAGAAATGAAGCTAGGATGGTGAACATCCTGTGGGTATTTATCATAACAGAATCTAGATACACTGGATAATACTGGGTGATATGATAACTGTTAACATGTCAATATATTCCATCATGTGGTAACAAGTGTATTATAACTGCTAGTCATATTGGTCACCGATTTTTAATTTTGTAAGTACCTCATACATCTGTTTGCTGTTAGTCATCCCATTGTACTGCTCTACATCTGTTTCTGACATCAACTTGCTGATAACTGCTAGAAATCACTTCCTGACATGTCAGTGGCTTTGTAGACAACCCATGAAGATCCGGGTTAGAATTGGTCTTCAGCAACCCATGCTTGTCGTAAGAGGCGACTAACGGGATCGGGTTGTCAGGCATGGTGAGTTAGTTGACACATGTTATCGTGATACCAATTGCGTGATCGATGGGCATGCTGTTGATCACTTGATTGGTTTGGTCTGTCACACGATGTTATTGGTTTGGTCTGATTTTATCAATATCCTCTTAATATCCTAGCAAACCACCAACATTCTATGTCATTATTCCCAATGTGAATTCATCATATTGCATTAGTTATGTGCATCTTTCTGTACAAGGGATGTGTTCAAAGGGCTTCGCATATTTTTGTTTTATATTTGTACATAAGCATGTCAGTGATGAATGTACATAGAAAGTAGAATATCAGTAGGCTGCAAATCAGCTGACTTCACCAAGTCAAAAGTGAAAAACTGCAAAACTTTTGCAACCCCAAAAAGAATGTTTTATGTGAGTTTCAAAAGAAAGATTTGCTGGTAGATGAAAAACGAAAGAAGAATGGATTATTGGCATGGGGTAAGTATGGCCAGAAGTGATGTGTTCAATACACAATTATGCACTATTCATGTTATAAACCAACATGTGTCTCCTTATGAGTTATGGTAATATTACGTTTCTTCATTCTCTCATTAACTGGTTCATCATCACAAGCATCTCAAAGTAATTACAAACTTGATGCTTGAACTACACTGGGCTGAAGTGGTTCAGACACTGAAGAAACTCACCATGGTTACTGATGCAGGTTTTTAATGTTCAAAGAAATCTGAATTGATGGTATTTAGATACTTGAGGTAGATCCAGAAAATGGTTTTATCACCGAACTACATGATTGTATGTCCATACTAAGTATAAGGTACTCCATTTGTATTGCTTTGACCTTTGTAAGTCTGTTTTGATAGTAAACGTTCTGAACATTGCTCAACAGAAAGATTTAGGAATGATCTCACTTTGAGGAGCAGTGGGAATTAGAAACTCAAACTACTCCTTTTTGACTAACAAGAGTTGCAGCTTCATATCGTAGTCTTTTCTTCTGGTTCTAACATGGAATTCTATTAAACAGGCTAAGATCTCTTTTCAGAAGTGCTGACTAGGTTGACACATGTCATTGTATCCCAATTGCGTAGGACCCGTGAAGATCCGTGTTAGAATATTGATCTTCAGTAACCCATGCTTGTCGTAAGAGGCGACTAACCGGATCGGGTGGTCAGGCTCGCTGACTTGGTTGACACGTCATCGGTTCCCAATTTTGCAGGTCGATGCTCATGCTGTTGATCACTGGATTGTCTGGTCCAGACTCGATTATTTACAGACCGCTGCCATATAGCTGGAATATTGCTGAGTGTGGCGTAAAACTAAGCTCACTCACTCACTCCCCCCAATTGCGTAGGTCAGTGCTCATGATCACTGGATTGTCTGGTTCAGACTCGATTATTTACAGACCGTTGCCATATAACTGGAATATTGCTGAGTGCGACATTAAACTACAAACAAAAACAAATCTTTTCAGATTGGCATTATGTGTACTGGTCACAGAATGCAGATGCCATCAACGTATGGCTATATAATTAAGATATACTGAACCATTTTCCACCAATATGAAAACATGAAGTATATTACAAGTAATTCAAGCTGAATAATTTCTGTTGCTTATAACTATCATTTATCACGTTTGCAGTAATATGAAATTATCACGTTTCAGCTTGTGATTTTAGAAGTGTAGTGATAAAATGAACTGCAAAAGGGTATTTATGACAATGATACAGTCAATCATGCTTACATTGTATGGCTTCCAGATTGCTGACGTGGCATAAAGTTCCTCATAAGTAATGACAAATTTGTTTTTGACATATTCTATTGCCTAAAGTTTGTGTTGTCTTCTAAGAAAGCCCTTATGAGTACATGATGCGCCTTTTTATCTAAATTCTATAACTATAATTCTATAAGTTCTGGATGCAAACAATAAAGACTATGCTAAAAGTCGTATTGTCTTTATTGTATTAACCCTGTTATTTCTTAGTGCTATGGTGACGAAACATAAAGGGAATACCATCAAAGAAATATTTGTGCTAGTTACTCTTTTTTTTCTAAAAATCAGAATTTACTCTTTAAGATATGAAGCAAAATTGTTTTAGACAGCTTAGGCCAGACCATTTTATTTCTTGTTTTACGGATTTTTGTCCTCAGAAAACCTAAAGGCAGGACGGGAAAAAAAAAATTAAATACAAATCACCAGTCAAAGTAATATTCCTTTTAAATACTAAAAGTATTTTACTTTTGGCAATTTATGAAGTGTACATGGGGCAAAAAACAATCTAAAAACATATTCTTGCACAATTACATTTTGGCCATTAAAATATTAAAATTATATTTTTTGAGCAGGGAAAATTAATTAATTTTTTCTTATTCTTCAAAAAATGAGACCAGTGCATCCTTAAAACAAGAAATAAAATTGGTTTGGCCTTATCATAGGATCCAAGAACCTATATATCCTTATTTTATCCAAAAACATGGGTTAAGAGTTCATTTGATGAGACCATGCATTGAAGTGCACTCAGATATTCATGTAGAGAGGTAGTGTGT